TGCGCAGGCTTCGTTTTAAGGTTCTGCAATCTAGTTTCAGTATTACCCGGTGACTCGGGATTTAGGTAGTCCCACCACCGAGGCTTCCACAAAGCGGAAGTCCGACAACTGATAGCCAAAACCACGTAGGCTACTTTGTATTCCTTTTGACAAGTGTAAATTTGCACAGCTCCCCGGGTCGAAAGCTATGAATACACACTGTGTACACAAAGTACCTTATCATTTTAAAAGCCATCAAACAAGTACTACAACCTGTACTTTAGTAAGAGTAAGTATGGTTTTACGCCGCTTTTAGCAATATTCCAGCAATTTCAAGGCAGGGGACACCAGAAATTGGCTCCACACATTGTACCCATGTAGGGAACCGAACCGGGCTCTTCAGCGCGACGGGCGGACACTTTAATAACCATTAGGCTATCCCATCGCCCCACTTTATAAAGAAAGTATAGTCCGAAATGTACCATTTGTAACATTTGACTTCTTTGCTAAGTTAATTTTGTTTAACGGCGAATCCAGCAATATTCCAGCTATATAGCGGCGCTCTGTAAATAATCGAGTCTGGACCAGACAATCCATTGATCAACATCATGAGCTTCGATCTGCGCAACTGGGATTCGATGCACATGTGTCAACCAAGTCATCGAGCCTGACCATCCGAACGTTAGTCGTCTTTTACAACAAGCATAGGTTACTGAAGACCAATTCTAACCCTGATCATCGTTAAGAGTCTTTCAGGATTCGGACATCCACAGATTTGTAGGTTGCACATTCTTGTCGATGTACAAGGCATCAAGAACTGTTACATTCCGGCACATATCGAATTATCCGTAATTCGAGACAAGCGAAGCATAATCGCCAATAATCGACGAGTAACGGTCCCCACAAATATCAACAAAGACGCTGACTAACTTCAATTCTGTTTCTTCTTAAAACCTCGTCGGGCGGTGGGGTAGCTTAGTGGTTAAAGCGTTCGCTCGTCACGCCGAAGACCCGGGTTCGATTCCCCACATGGGTACAATGTGTGAAGCCCATTTCTGGTGTCCTCCGCCGCGGTGAGACGGAGACGTGAATATCTGCCTGTCAGCGAGACTTGTGTGTCCGCCACGGTGTGCTCATGCTATCCATCACTAGTTTATTGGCCCCGGGTTATTTACAGAGCGAGTGTTATGTTGTAGAAATAGGCCTGACAGCGCCGGTAGATACAGTCCACTCAAAGACTACCTTTATCAGACACCTGAGCCTCGATACTCGTATATTCTCAGTGGGATAAAGCCATAGAGATTTACCCTGTCACTCTGTATATGTCCGTATCCAAGATATACCGCCTGGAAGATTATTAGACCGGGGTTGTTGTTGTGTTGAACTATCTAGGTGTCTTGGTATCGGCTGACAAACAAACAACCGTAGAAGATAGTGAGTGAGTTCAGGTTTACGCCACTTTTAGCAATATTCCAGCACTATCACGGCGGGGACACCAGAAATGTGCTTCACACATTGTACCCATGTGGGGAATCGAACCGGGTCTTCGGCGTGACGAGCGAACGCTTTAACCACTAGGCTACCCCGACGCTGCCGGTAAAAGATAAAGCTTTCATTTCGCAACAGAATTAACAGAATGTTCCGTGGACATTGCCTCTTAAATGTACTAAGAGGTGGCCATGCTTATCAGTGTATTGCCTTTCCAATGCAGAGGATTACTCGCCCGTGAAGATCCGGGGTAGAATAGGTCTTCAGCAACCCATGCTCGCCGTACAAGGCGACTATGCTTGTTGTAAGAGGCGACTAACGGGATCGGGTGGTCAGGCTCGCTGACTTGGTTGACACATGTCATCGAATCCCAATTGTGCAGATCGATGCTCATGCTGTTGATCACTGGATTGTCTGGTCCAGACTCGATTATTTACAGACCGCCGCCATAGAGCTGGAATATTGCTGAGTGTGGCGTAAAACTAAACTCACTCACTCACACTGCAGAGGATTACTGTCTCTCTCTCTGTTTGCTTGTTTAACAAAACAGCTGCAAAAAGTGATCTCGATGTATACATTTGCTTAGTTAAAAGCTCTAAAGTCACACATAACAGTACTACACTTATCTTGTCTTACCTTTGTGAAGTGAAGAGGATGGTGTCTATTTACTTCATTAACAAATACTCAGGTGTTACTGTTAGTATGCAAAGTTATGATGCTAAGGCTTCACACAGCGCTTGCTTCCTCACAGCTACAGAGTTGACTGGGAGGGGTCGCTGTGTCGCTGCAGGGAACCCTATATATGGTGTTATGCCACTGTTTCAAAAACAAAAATCGTCCTGTGACGTCCGTAAAGTATGTTTTTTTTGCATTATATTTAATTCGTAAACGTCATAAACCGATTTTCTTTATTTAAATTCACTTTGATCTAACGGAACTGACAAATTCTAAAGCGAATCGTTTACATTTTTGTTATATGATGCATTTCTGTGGATTCGCAAATGCTTAGTATAGCTCTTAGTGTTCCATTATAGTGATATTTTCTAAACAAAAGTATTGACAATGTTTTTATATTTTTTCACAAAACACGTTTAGTTTTGTATGTACATGGTGACATACCTATTTTGACATAGCGACATCAAAGCAATGACATAATAACATTTTTGTCACTTTATTTTAAAGAGTGAGTGAGTGTTCTATCCGGAACAATGCATTCAGTTATTAAACGGCTCAGTGTGAGATAATATTCCTCATTCATAAAAATTTCAGAAATATTACACCATAAATAATTGTACGCCATAAATGGACTTCGCACATTGTCCCCACGTGGGGAATCGAACCCAGTCTTCGACGTGAAGAGTGAACGCTTTAATCACTTGGCTACCGAACAATCAGCGAGGAAAGGAAAACAAACCCGTGTTTAAAAGCAGAGATATGTAAATAACTATAAATAACTTGTAAAATACAAGCATCGATCTAGATTTGGATTTATGCCAAAGAAACTAAGGAAGTATTCCAACAAGTTAAATTAAATCGATACCAAAGTGTACTGTTGATAGCAGTCGCCAATGGAAGCCATTAATGTTTATACAGGTGAAAAGGGGGAATATTAGACAGAGTTATCAAATGACAAAGAAAGAAATATCCTGAGCAGGGCTTTTGGTATTCTTCGATTCAACTATAGTCTGTTTGCAGTGAAAACGTACCGATGAAAAAAGTAAATCAAATAAAGTGAAATTAAGATTGCGAATCCTCATAGTTTTACCTTGCCAATTGAACATTTAAATCTCAGAATTTATTCAACTTAGGATAAAAGTTGTTTTACAAACGATCATAGTTTCAAATCGCTATTGTTGGTTTGTACTACAATGGGGGTAAGCGCAGTAGTTGGAACAGTGAAACAAATGCACGGGCGGTACGTGATGAGCATTCACTTAGACCAACCCCGGCCCACTTGTTCTCGGTGTTTCATTTAATGTGCCTACCCCCTTGTAATACAAACCAATATTAGCGATTTGAAACTATGATCGTTTGTTAAACAACTTTTACCCGAAGTCGAATAAAATTTTGAGATTTAAATGTTCAATTGGCAAGGTAAAATCATGAGGATTCGCAATCTCAAATTCATTTTATTCTATTTATCTTTTGTTTAAAGTGAAATTAATCGGTACGCTTTCATTGCAAACAGACTATATAACATGTCATTTTTGGTGTCTTTGAGGTTCCCATGTAACGCCATGGACCATTCTAACTGCCAATTAAACGTAAAATACTAAACGTAAATTACATTTTGTTTGTCTGAAGTGTTCATCCGGGTTCTGCGGTTGTGTTTCTGCGTTGATGTTGTATCAAACTAAAGACCGACATACATGTAATGTTGTTTCAAAGTAAAGAACGAAATACATGTCATGTTGTTTCAAAGTAAAGAACGAAATACATGTCATGTTGTTTCAAAGTAAAGAACGAAATACATGTCATGTTGTTTCAAAATACAGAACGAAATACATGTAATGTTGTTTCAAAGTAACCAATGGTACCATAACGCTACCCACAACGTTACAATATCATCACCGTCACGTATGATATACGTTCTGAAAAAAACGGTCTTTAAAACGAACATTACTGGTCTGTGTTCAACTAACCTGTATCTCTCGTAGCCATAGCATGCTTGCTATCTAAAATATACTATATATCATTTCAAGCTCTAAATAACACATGTTTTGATATTGTAACAGTTTCTAGTTTTTAGTTATGGGTAATACAATCCGACATAACGTAAATGGCACGCGTGCTGTCGACAATTGTTTATTGCTTGCAATTGTGTATGTTTTCACATCCATATTTGATGGGGTTTTTCATAAATAGTTCCTGGTTGCTTTCAAAACGTATTTACATTCGACTCGTGGTAGCGGTGGTCATCTTAGAGGCAGCTTTTATTGACGGGTCCGTCACTCACCGACACCAGAAAAACCGTTCCCCCTACCCATGTATGTCAATCCATGCTAAGCATTTGTTAAAATGACTGGTTAGCTTTCTTGCCTATCGTGTTTCCTATACTTAACTTGTTATTGTTAATGCATTTAAAGATCAAAAAGTACTTTTGGTTTCATGAATCGCATCTTGCAAACTCGACGACTGCAATTGACCACTTTTATTCAGAATGACTGATAAGTCTATCCACTACTGTACATCCGTTTCGGACGTTTGAAATATATTAAAAGAACCGTTAGATACAATATATCAGATTAACTCTGATACGTTTCAGATATTACTGTAAACCGGCGTACGTATACGTGACTGCAATTTAGTCTACAGAATTTACCTACTGAAATAGGCGAGGTATGAGTACGTTACCTTGGCAACATATATTCACGTGCTCAGAGTGGTAATAAGTGAACAATTAAAATGAAAGATTCACGTCATCATTTATCAGCATAAAATGCTCGTACATCTATTTTGTTCACCCTAATCGGGTCCATGGGTATTGGTAAGTACTACGATTTGAGTTATAATTTGAGTTACGGGTATCTCACCTTGTTAGAGTAAAATCCTTGTGTTTACCGCTAGGAAGGCTGTTGGTTGCTGCGTACTCAACTAAATGGGAAGCACGTTCAACTGACACGGAATCACGTGACTTCAGTGTCCTGGCGATATAAACACTGTGGGCGCTGGTAGTCGACGTGGTTATGATAGGCGACGAGTATGTAAAATAGTAATTGTGTCCAAGGTATATTGGGACATGGTGATTGTAGGATAAGACTATGGTCGAAAAATACTAACATATGTATGGTATATAAACACCCGAATTAAATACAGCGAGATGAATCAGTGAGAGAGTTGTCTTCAATCGGCTTTGACAAATATTTCAGCTTAATAAAGCGGGAATTTAAGCAGATTTTGGACTTTAACCACTACGAGGCAACCCACACCACGATGCATATTTGTTTGGCATATTTAGTATACGGAGTTACTGCATGGTTTGTTTGCACTTCTTCTGCGCCTATAAAGGACGAAGACGTCTCTCGTGTCCCGTTGAGCCAAAGTTCTACGGGCGGTGGGGTAGCCTAATGGTAGAGTCTACTAATGCCTACAGGGAATAACGCCTACAGTCTTAAATAAACAATTTTACGCACCATGCAGTGGTTACAAATTATACTGCCTCTACCCTTTCACTAAAGTGGTAGGTCCCACTTCATTGTGCACTAATGCCTGCAGGGAATACAAAACACAGACTTTAAAATGCCATTTTATAAGATTTAACCATATCATCATTTTCATTTCTTCACACCAAATTACATTACATTACATATTATTGAATTATTAATTGAGATTACATTACAAATCATATTATTGAATTATTAATTGAAATGATCATTAATCAACATCAATTATTTACATATGTACATATGTACATATGTACAAATATACAAACATACAAATATACATTTCTGATGACAATGAAACACGGTCGATCTCCGTGTAGATCCTCTTACGGTGTGGGGGACGGGCGCCGTGCGACATCTGCACCAACTTGTTCCTCTCAGTTTTCTCCAACTTCTGAAGCATTTTCACCAAAGGGAAAATGTTAGGGTGAGCTCTCTGGACAGTCTTGTTGAGGTGGGAATACCAACCCTCGAGATGATTATTCGTCCTCGGGCCTCGGGTCTCGTGGTGGTTCCATAGTCCCAACCACTCTCCTACCCAGAGTTCCATGCGGCAAGCCAGCATAGTGCCTCTGCCACAGGCCAGAAAAATGTGATGATCCGTCACATCTTGCACCGTCCGTTCACTATAATCTACATATTTCTTAACTCTTTTATCTTTGACGAGCCTAAACATCTAATTAAACATCTTTGTTAGAATGGCTTAGTTTCACTGAGAAAATATCCTAAAACATGTAACACTATTTCGATTTGCGTAGCGATCCTTTGTTTACGTGGGTTTTACGGCTCCACGTGCTGTCATCGAGGCCGACAGGAAGCAAACGACGCAACCAGTTTGATATCTAAATATGTACTGTCATAAATGTTACTGTCGCAGTTGTGGAAGAATATATATGTAACACTGTAAAACATTGTAAAGAGCGCGCCGAAGAGCTTGCGTATGGCCAGTCTCTTCTTATTATGAATATGCGCGTTTGTTTACAAACAAGAGAAAAGTCCGGTCACGTGATATGCAAATTAGCCTGTGGCAGTGATGTTATGCTAAGTCATCACTGCGCCGGAGTGTGAGTCCCAACTGTGGACTTCAAGATCCTGCCGGTAGCCTAATGGTTAATGCGTTCGCTCGTCACGCTGAAGACCCTGGCACGTAGAAAAAAAGTGTGAAGCCCATTTCGGGTGTCCCCCGCCGTGATATTGCTAAAAGCGATGTAAAACTTGACTCACTCACTCACAAGTTATACAGTGTGTGTTAGCAACCCAAACTAGCTGGGATGGGACCAGATATGACAATCCGGGAACGCATAATGGACACGACTCTGCACAGAGAATCGAGTCGAACTTGGTGCATTTGGCGCTCTGTTCGTTAATATCTATGAAATGTCGGCATTGTAAAAAATCGACAGAACAGTTTTACTACAGGAATATCTATGAGATACATGCATTTTGTCTACTTGACAGTATATGAGCTATTGGATGTACTACAGGGTGGTGTGCTATGTTCGTATCTATGAGATACATGCGCATTATATATTTGACAGTGTATGCACAATTGGATGTAGGCCTACTACAGGGAGGTGTGCTATGTTCGTCTCTATCTATGAGATACATGCACATTATATATTTGACAGTGTATGCACAATTGGATGTAGGCCTACTACAGGGAGGTGTGCTATGTTCGTCTCTATCTATGAGATACATGCACATTATATATTTGAAAGTGTATGCACAATTGGATGTGGGCCTACTACAGGGAGGTGTGCTATGTTCGTCTCTATCTATGAGATACATGCACATTATATATTTGACAGTGTATGTACAATTGGATGTGGGCCTACTACAGGGAGGTGTGCTATGTTCGTCTCTATCTATGAGATACATGCACATTATATATTTGACAGTGTGTGTACAATTGGATGTAGGCCTACTACAGGGAGGTGTGCTATGTTCGTCTCTATCTATGAGATACATGCACATTATATATTTGACAGTGTATGCACAATTGGATGTGGGCCTACTACAGGGAGATGTGCTATGTTCGCTCTATCTATGAGATACATGCACCTTATATATTTGACAGTGTATGCACAATTGGATGTGGGCCTACTACAGGGAGGTGTGCTATGTTCGTCTCTATCTATGAGATACATGCACATTATATATTTGACAGTGTGTGTACAGTTGGATGTAGGCCTACTACAGGGAGATGTGCTATGTTCTTCTCTGTCTATGAGATACATGCACATTATATATTTGACAGTGTGTGTACAATTGGGTGTAGGCCTACTACAGGGAGGTGTGCTATGTTCGTCTCTATCTATGCACTTCTTCCGCGCCTATAAAGGACGAAAACGTCTCTCGTGTCCCGTTGAGCCAAAGTTCTACGGGGCGGCGGGGTAGCCTAATTGTGGAGTCTACTAATGCCTACAGGGAATGACGCCTACAGTCTTAAATAAACAATTTTACGCACCGGTGGTTACAAATTGTACTGTCTGTACCCTTTCACTAAAGTGGTAGGTCCCACTTCATTGTGCACTAATGCCTACAGGGAATACAAAACACAGACTTTTAAATGACATTTTATAAGATTTAACCATATCATCATTTTCATTTCTTCACACCAAATTACATTACATTACAAATAATATTATTGAATTATTAATTGAAATGATCATTAAACAACATGAATTATTTATATATGTACAAATATACAAATATACATTTCTGATGACAATGAAACACGGTCGATCTCTGTGTAGATCCTCTTACGGTGTGGGGGACGGGCGCCGTGCGACATCTGCACCAACTTGTTCCTCTCAGTTTTCTCCAACATCTGAAGCACTTTCACCAAAGCGAAAATGTTAGGGTGAGCTCTCTGGACAGTCTTGTTGAGGTGGGAATACCAACCCTCGAGATGATTATTCGTCCTCGGGCCTCGGGTTTCGTGGTGGTTCCATAGTCCCAACTGTGGACTTCAAGATCCTGCCGGTAGCCTAATGGTTATGTGCACATTAGATATTTTGTCCTAGTCTCTTGCACAAGTAACCCAATATCCTGCCCTTTACCAGTTATCTGATAGGGTTCTGGGGCTCAAGGCACTGGTGCCATGGTTTCCATAGCAACAGTTTTTTAGCCAATCCCCAGGGGCTATGTTGTCACATGACAGGGGCAAGAGGGAGCGTGGGACCCCCAAGCCTGAAATCTTCCTCTTTCTGCCTGCACTGTCGAGGTGACAACAAGCCAGCTTGTTTTTTAGGTAAGAACCTCAGTTTGCTTCCATATTGCAACTGGGTCTTCTGTATTAAATTCCTATGCATAGTTATGTTGTTAGCAGGATAAGTAATTATCTGCGGCTTTTAAATTAATGCATTATTTAATTTGATAAATCACAATTAAAACAATTGTTGGGTCACTGTCATCAATTATTCTTGCTGTGCCAAACTGGCGAAAGGTCACTCATCTGTGACTGTCCAAACGTGCACTCGATGGCAAGAATAAATGACATGTACTCATTGTAATATATTTTCATCTAGAAATTCATTTTAGTAAAGTACTTTGTGTGTTTAGCATTAATTTGCTTATTTGACCTGCCAGTCAAAATTGTCTCTAGCTCATTGCTAAATTCAAAATTCCATTTATTTACAACTTGTTGCTGCTAACAACAGAACTCTTTTGCCATTTTAATCTAAATTTAAAAGTGTCTGTATCACTGTCCCGGTTTCCAAACCATGTGCTCAGTTAGAGTATCACGGTGTCAGCTGGAACCAATTAGTGGCGGTCATGCTCACTGACCAGTGCTGACCTCTCCACTGAGCAGCACACAGCCTGGGCTGTCTTCGGCTCTCCTCGGCATTCTCCGGCTCCCGTCCGGCTCCATTACAAAATGGCTGCACCGGATGTAAACAAAACTAGGGTCCGTCGTCTGCTTCATGGTTATCTTAACATAGCATTGACTACCGGTACCATGCAACTATATCAATCATATTTTAGTATGTTTCCCCACTTGATGTGAAAGTGAAGTCACAGTTTATTCAATAATAATATAATGTATTATATTATATGGCCAATAATATACCTGCAAATTGTAGTAATATAAATCATGTAATATCCGTTTATTACATATTATCAATTTATTTACTACAATTAGGTGTTTATTCTGGGTAGCCCCAAGTGGTGTACCTACTGGGTGTATTGACATTCTGTTGGAGCTAGCCTCATATTGACTAGTATGATCATCCAACAGGCAGTCATACCCCATTTCCCTTAGCCACATGTGTCGTACAGGCCAGGTGTCCTGTCGTGGCTATTGTGTATATCAATCAACCGGTTTTCTGTATCATATATTCCAAATGTGTTGGGTATAGATATTGCCCCACTTTGTGTATATATATGTATTTTTATACTTCCCATTGGCCCTTAAAGTTAATGTGACTTTCACCTCACCTCAGGTGGGGCCCTATGTAAATCCTCTGATAGGAGGGGTGTGACGATTCTTTTGGGTTATGTAATTAAAGGTATTTATGTAAATACTCTTTGGGATTGTGTGCTCATATATGCACATATACTTTTGTACCAATATTGTATTTATTTGTCCTTTAATAATATTGTTGCCCCTATTAAGTATTGTCGTCACATCCTACATATCAGTCGGATTATTATGTATTTTCATTATTGTATCTGTACAATGGCTCTTTCTGCCTGCACTGTCGAGGTGACAACAAGCCAGCTTGTTTTTTAGGTTTCACCTGGACTGTGCAGTCGGAATTTGCAACTCTGTAACCAAGACCTTTTATTTCAATATATATTATTACTGTCTTTTTGTGTTGTGTCATCTTTGACTGGAGCACTTCGCGCAATAGACACACTTGCCCATCCCTTTTACCGTGAGACGTAATTGTTACGCAATAACAGCAATTACCCAAGTCTTACATTGGCGCCCAACGTGGGGCAAAGTGTCGCAAGCGTTCATAGTACTCCTCAACGGTCAAAGATATACACTCATTGGCACATAAGGCATAATTTTGTATCTGTACTTCTACCCTTAGTTGCCTTAGTCAACTAAGAATTCTCAGTATCTCAACCTCATCTCCGATTTTTTGTCAACATGTCCTCGCTCACGAACTCTGAGCTCTTGGACACTATGTTGTCAATGAAAATTGACCCCAAGCGATCAATTGGAATAATTGGGCTCCCGGAGGAAACAAAAACGGAGTCGGTTGAGGAGGAGTTGTCCCCTTGCTATGGGAAGGTGCGGGTTCTCCAGGTGCTTGATTCTATTCATCAGCTGCACCTCGTGGAGTTCACGAGCCCTCAAGTCCCTCTGAAGCTTGGGGACACTGTACTCATCAGAGAGGAGGAGTATCAAGTTATGAAAGTGAACTTGGTTCGGGAAGGATCCTCTCTAGAAGACGTCGTGGCCAGGGCAGTAGATCAGGCCCTGGACAGGAAGATGGCCCTGATGATGGAGGCGATAAAGTCGCAGATGCTGGAACAGTTCCAACTGCTATTACGACAGCTTCCATCAGCTACGACCAGCACCGGACCCATAAAACCAAAGCCAACAACTCCCACACCTGTTCTGGCGGCTAACGAGGTTGCTGCTGCCCACTTAGAATCCTCAGCCGCCAGCGACTCTAATGTTGCAAGCTCGAGTGCTGGGGTTGTGGGTAGCGGTAGCACTGTACGCCCAGACCCACAACAGGTGCTGGTGAATTGGGGTCGTCCCTCATCCAGCTACTTCAGACTGAAGACCTTCTCTGGTACAAGACCCATCAAAACGGAGAGGTAGCTTTTGAAGAATGGGCCAAACAAGCGAAGATTGTAATGGAAGATCAGGCCCTCTCAGACATCGGGAAGTCGGGAGTCTTCATTGTCGAACGTCACCAGGGTGAATTGCCTGTCTATGTTTTTCGACCAGAAAATGGAGACGGGCCCTCAAAGACTTACCATCGCAACCTCTTACTTCCTGTTGGTTCATTGCCCCTAGATATGGATGAACCAGAAAGAAACCAATGTCAGAGGCGGCCTGTTACCAGATCCAGAACCCGAAATCAACAACCGGAGGACATCTTAGAATCCTCTGAAGACGAACTACACACTATCAATGTATGGTACCCACAGCCTGAACCTATTAGAGCTGTACCCACTAGCAGCTTGAACCCTGAGGCTCAACCCTTTGAACCACAAGAGCAGGCACTGCCATACACACAACCTACTGCAGAGGAAGTTCCCGCTATCCAAGTGGTTCCCGGTATGCAGAATGAGGCAACCACTGCAGGACCCCTCACCAGGGAAACGGTTGCAGTGGAAGCTGAAGCTGCTCCATCAGAACCCATGGAGAGTGGGGACTCAGGAGAACTACATGGGAGAGAAGATGGGCTGCCTGAAGATCCGGACAATGAGGATACATCGCTCATCGCTCCCTGTGATCCGGTAGAATCATCTGGTGGTGAGCAAGACCTATCTGAGAACTCTGTGGACTCTGCTATAAGTGATCCAGTTGCTGCGGAGGAGCCACTCCAGTCTCTCCCCTGTGAGGAGACTGTTATCATGACCTTGCCGGAAGCTCCTCGTAGATCCCAGCGCCAGCGACGAAGCACTAGGTTCTTTTCCTGGGATCCATTTACGAAGAAGTATTCTCAGGTCATACATGTGTGATACAAGAGGGTTACGAATGATTGTTCAGCTGAAGCATTGTTTAATCATGTATTTGTATTTATCAATTCCAATCCGGGTTACAAAATTTCCTTAAAGGGGGGGAGAGTGTAAAGGCTGGATATTTTGTCCTAGTCTTTTGCACAAGTAACCCAATATCCTGCCCTTTACCAGCTATCTGATAGGGTTCTGGGGCTCAAGGCACTGGTGCCATGGTTTCCATAGCAACAGTTTTTTAGCCAATCCCCAGGGGCTATGTTGTCACATGACAGGGGCAAGAGGGAGCGTGGGACCCCCAAGCCTGAAATCTTCCTCTTTCTGCCTGCACTGTCGAGGTGACAACAAGCCAACTTGTTTTTTAGGTAAGAACCCCAGTTTGCTTCCATATTGCAACTGGGTCTTCTGTATTAAATTCCTATGCATAGTTATGTTGTTAGCAGGATAAGTAATTATCTGCGGCTTTTAAATTAATGCATTATTTAATTTGATAAATCACAATTAAAACAATTGTTGGGTCACTGTCATCAATTATTCTTGCTGTGCCAATCTGGCGAAAGGTCACTCATCTGTGACTGTCCAAACGTGCACTCGATGGCAAGAATAAATGACATGTACTCATTGTAATATATTTTCATCTAGAAATTCATTTTAGTAAAGTACTCTGTGTGTTTAGCATTAATTTGCTTATTTGACCTGCCAGTCAAAATTGTCTCTAGCTCATTGCTAAATTCAAAATTCCATTTATTTACAACTTGTTGCTGCTAACAACAGAACTCTTTTTGCCATTTTAATCTAAATTTAAAAAGTGTCTGTATCACTGTCCCGGTTTCCAAACCATGTGCTCAGTTAGAGAATCACGGTATCAGCTGGAACCAATTAGTGGCGGTCATGCTCACTGACCAGTGCTGACCTCTCCACTGAGCAGCACACAGCCTGGACTGTCTTCGGCTCTCCTCGGCATTCTCCGGCTCCCGTCCGGCTCCATTACAAAATGGCTGCACCGGATGTAAACAAAACTAGGGTCCGTCGTCTGCTTCATGGTTATCTTAACATAGCATTGACTACCGGTACCATGCAACTATATCAATCATATTTTAGTATGTTTCCCCACTTGATGTGAAAGTGAAGTCACAGTTTATTCAATAATAATATAATGTATTATATTATATGGCCAATAATATACCTGCAAATTGTAGTAATGTAAATCATGTAATATCCGTTATTACATATTATCAATTTATTTACTACAATTAGGTGTTCATTCCGGGTAGTCCCAAGTGGTGTACCTACTGGGTGTATTGACATTCTGTTGGAGCTAGCCTCATATTGACTAGTATGATCATCCAACAGGCAGTCATACCCCATTTCCCTTAGCCACATGTGTCGTACAGGCCAGGTGTCCTGTCGTGGCTATTGTGTATATCAATCAACCGGTTTTCTGTATCATATATTCCAAATGTGTTGGGTATAGATATTGCCCCACTTTGTGTATATATATATGTATTTTTATACTTCCCATTGGCCCTTAAAGTTAATGTGACTTTCACCTCACCTCAGGTGGGGCCCTATGTAAATCTTCTGATAGGAGGGTTGTGACGATTCTTTTGGGTTATGTAATTAAAGGTATTTATGTAAATACTCTTTGGGATTGTGTGCTCATATATGAACATATACTTTCGTACCAATATTGTATTTATTTGTCCTTTAATAATATTGTTGCCCCTATTAAGTATTGTCGTCACATCCTACATATCAGTCGGATTATTATGTATTTTCATTATTGTATCTGTACAATGGCTCTTTCTGCCTGCACTGTCGAGGTGACAACAAGCCAACTTGTTTTTTAGGTTTCACCTGGACTGTGCAGTCGGAACTTGCAACTCTGTAACCAAGACCTTTTATTTTAATACATATTATTACTGTCTTTTTGTGTTGTGTCATCTTTGACTGGAGCACTTCGCGCAATAGACACACTTGCCCATCCCTTTTACCGTGAGACGTAATTGTTACGCAACCACAGCAATTACCCAAGTCTTACATTCTTAATCCAGTCACTTCAAAACCGTGCACATACATATATTGTACGTGAGTGAGTGAATTTAGTTTTACGCCGCTTTTAGCAATATTCCAGCAATATCACGACGGGGGAACACCAGAAATGATATGTATTACTATCCATGCACATGTATTTCTCACTCATTCGTACATAATTTCATCTTAACTCTACCTAACCTTTTCTAGTCATAACTTAATTATATATTTCACCATCCTATCATGAATATTTTATTGTAAGGCTATAGATCTACCATGTTTCGCGAACAGCTGGTGTCATTATAAATTTTCGGTGAACCATTCATATGGTTTAAAAACTATTTATCTAATTTTACCGGAAATAATTTGTTTTGGGGGTTAGTTAAGACTGCTGATATTCTATATATACTGACGTTCTATATATTGAACGACATTTTTTTTACGACATCCAACCCTGTCTGCTTATTAAATAAACTCCGCATGATACATTGAAAAGGTATTTCGGGAGTATTTTTCATCACATCAAACAATTACAAGAGCTATTAGCTACCGATACTCGGACACCCTGGCGGTACACCTTTAATTTCTTCTTTTCAAGAACAGACCCGACCCTTGGACGTTCGTTAAACCGAACAGAATAGTCTCCCTTTACGGAAGTAAACCGGATGTTGACATTAAAGGGAGAGGGAGGGAGACGGTCATGCTTTGTGGTGGTAGCTCCTGACAGCGTGACTAAATGGATATACATCACAGAAAAACATTTGATTTTGAAGAACATGTTAATCTGAGTTTAAACTCGGGAGAATTTGGTGATGGATCCAGATCGGCCTCCTCTTCTGCGGTGGAATCGCTGCCGGAGGAGGGTAGGGGAGGGGACTCGCCATCGGAGTCTGTGAGGGGGACAACTTGGTACATCGCACCCAGTCTCACAGAGGTGGACTCTGCTGCCAACGAAGCACATGATCAGTTTGCAGGGTTAGGTAAGTTTCCCTAGGTTCGGAATTGAGTCAGTGGTTAGACTCACACTAGTGACAGTATTTTCAGTTGTAATCAGATGATCGTCGCGTTCAATCTTTCAGTTATAATGAAGTACGAAAATGTATCTATTCTACTTTAAAACACGAGATAGTAACATTACCCAAAGGCTTGCTTTCGTATTGAAGAATATTCCCTGATTCCATACTCACTATACCAACACCCCTTTTCACAAGCATTCATTCTAAAGTAGAGTTGTTGGGAGTTGTGTACTAGTAAGAAAAGCTGTATCATTGAAGCAGTCATTGAAGATTATGAGCTTCTTGACCAACTATTAACTGCACACTTGTCCAAAGTGGAGATTCTATGGAAGTGAAAGACAGGTTTTAATTATAGCTGCATGTCTTTGTCTCAGTGTTGATACTGTTGCTGTAATCACTTCAGACAAGGAGCCATATATACAGTACAGTCATTGTCAGCACCAGATGAACTACATTTATGAATTGGGGCAGTGGGGTAGCCTAGTGCTTAAAGCATTGGCTCGCCATACCGAAGACCCGGGTTCGATTCCCCACATGGGCACAATGTGTGAAGCCCATTTCTGGTGTCCCCACCGTAATATTGCTGAAATATTGCTAAAAGCGGCTTAAAACATACTCCCTCATTCATTTATGAATGCATAGATAGAACAAGGATGTGAATCAAGAGGAAAGTCAAATATGTATATATTTCTTGTGTAATTATAGCCACATGACTGATGATTTCTATCAAATAGTGAATTGCAAAATTCCAATATATGCATTGTAAACATGACACAAAGATTTTTCTCTGCTCTATTGGTTATGTATATCATCCATACCAGATGGCATCTGTCAAATAGAGAATTGCAAAGTTATTACATTTGTGGGTTCCAATATACATATGTAGTAAACATGACACAGGGTTTTTCTCTGCTCTATTGGTCATGTATGTCATGCATACCAGACATAAAAAAAAAGAGTTTTTGAATCAGATTTTGCCAAAATTGATGTCTCTATGAAAAATCTGCACTCTATTGACCAGTAATGCTAAATATCATAAGGACTCATATCCACAATATTGACCAGTAATATCTGTCGGTGAGTGAGTGAGTTTGCTTTTACGCCACACTCAGCAATATTTTAGCTATATGGCGGCTATCTGTAAATAATCAAATTCAGACCAGACAATCCAGTGATCAACAGCATGAGCATCGATCTATGCACTTGGGATACGATGACATGTGTCAACCAAGTCAGCGGGCCTGACCACCCGATCCCGTTAGTCGCCTTTTATGACAAGCATGGGTTGCTGATGACCAATTCTACCCCGGATCTTCACGGGTCACCAGATTTATTGTGAGGATTTATCTGCATACTGTTGACCACTAATATCAGATATATTATTTGGATTTCTCTCCTCTTTACTGACCATTATTATCATATATATCAATAGGACTTATCATCATGATCATCACTTTGTTTACCATTATCTTTTAAGGTTGGGTAGCCTAGTGGTTAAAGCGTTGGCTCGTCACGCCGAAGACCCGGGTTCGAATCCCCTCATGGGTACAATGAGTGAAGCCCATTTCTGGTGTCCCCCGCCATGATATTGCTGGAATATTGCTAAAAGCAGCGTAAAACCAAACTCAGTCAGTCAGTGTTTACCATTAACCATTACCAACAAGCGCTTCACTTAGTATACTACGGAGTGCACCCGCTTTGCGTACAAGAGATGATACAAGAGATGTTACGTCTCTGACTGATTAATATCAGATATATTCCAAAGACTTATCTCCAGTCTACTAACCAGTATTGTCACTATCAGATATATGAGTAGGTGTTATCATAACTCTGTTTAACTAGTAATATCTGATATATTCCTGGGACTTATCTTATATCTACTAACCAATATTATCAGATACAGCAGTTGGACTTATCCCACTACACTGACTTATCAGAACAGATCTGTCAATAGGACTTATCCCCACACATCATATAAGGTACTAATATTTCATAAGAACTTATCTCTACTTTACAGTGCACTCTGTCAAATTCGGACTCTGTCTTTCTCGGATTGCTGTATAAACAGGACTGAACTCATGGTCCCGACGTAATCCTTCTTTGTTGTCATAATTAAAAAGCTCTGTATCTCGGACTCTCATTATTTCGGATTTCGGACCAAAGTGTCGGCCCCATAAGGTAGTTACATGTAAAAACATTGCTATATAATTCGGACTGAGCAGGAAGTCCGCTTGGACACAGTGTGATATCAATCAGTTGTAAGAAGCTATTTTATTGGATAAAGATTGGTTTCTAATGACGCTTTTTCGCAACAGTCTGGAATAAGGGTCGTGATTGGTCAAAATCAGACACATGACCTAAGGCAGCCAATCATATTACGGCAATGGATACCGTCCTTGTAATCGAAAACTTTTAGATTTAGACAAAAGTTTTGGGTAAAATAATGCTATTCTGAACATATTTAATAAGAAATTGCTACCTATATCGTAAATTATGGAGCATTATTTGTGACAAAATGCTTCATGTATATATTTTGCATTGAACATCATTGGCGTGAAGATTGGTAGTAGAGCGAGATGTCACTTGTCAGTGACTTGACTTGCATTACATGATCTCACAAACAGATGGAAATAGTAATTTTATATGTACGTTTGACAACTTTTATGAATGTTGAAGTTGATTTCATTCATTAGTTTATTCAATTTATTTCATGAATTCCTCGAAACATCGTTGCCTTGCTCTTTGACAATGTTATTGTGGACCCCCTGCCGAAGCAGGTGTCCGAGAATCGTTGTTTTCAATAACATTGCGAAAAATAGTTTATAATTTTAATTCTGCTGATAATAGGCAGATAACTCCATTAAAATCTGTGTACTTCGGACTACTGTATAATTCGGACTTTTTAGTCTGTCCCAAGCTGGTCCGAATTAGACAGAGTGCACTGTATTCATATCTGATATATCAAAAGGGCTTATCTCAGCTTTAAATATGTTTTGATGATTGCATGGTTATGTTTACTTTGCAGATCTCACTACTATTTTACAAGCTGTTGTGTTTATTGAAGATGCTTACAAGGTGGGTACCATCATTTTTGCGCAAGCATATCATGTAGCACAAACAACAGGTTATTCCAACATGACCTCTGGCTATCTGAGTGTTTTATGACAATTCATGTGTCTTTTTGTAAAGATGATGCAACACATATACAGCTGAGCACATCTGAAACATACTTGGTGGTTGTTTGGCATGCAAAGGCAGGGCTCAATTTAGTACTTTGTTACTTGCACTGGTGCAACCCAATATTACAAAGTGCAATCTAGCTATTAGCTGAACTTGCACCTGGTGCAACTCAATTTTTGAGTGGGTAAACTCTCAATAAAGCATATTTCTTACATTACATACTAGTATTGCAATAAAAGCAGTGCAACTGGAATTTGGCTGGTGCAACTAGGTTTTTATCTTAGGTTGCACCTGGTGCAAGTAGGTTAACATCTCTTAAATCGAGCCCTGAAAGGCTTTAAGATTGGTGGGAAATATTCTCTGTGGAATGTACAAAAACAGATATCTTATTTTTGTAAAGAATTGGAATGGAAAAGGATCACCAGGCCTTGTAGCCTGAAACTGATAGTGCATTTTATTTACCGACAAGAAATGAAGAACAAAACTGAAGCATGTTAGGAGTGACAACTATATCCAATGTTTATGATTTGATAGGATAAATGATTTGAAGATTTATTGTCAGTGGCTCACCGAGGTATGAATAAATAATGATGTGCAAGATGTATGAATCTGCATAGAGGTAGTGGGGAATGTACTCCACCTCGGTTTTACAAATTACATCTTTTACATTCACTTTTGATATGATTGCAATAAAACATGATCATTTCAGCCCATAACAATGCAGGATGTACCAAGAACACAGCAAAATTGTAATTGTCAGGGATGGAAATAACTTTAAAATTGCTGGTGTACTCTGGTACAGTGGCACATGTAAAATCACTTGCCCTGATAATTTTTCCACTATACCAGCCATTTTCTTGTTGATTTTTAAATAAACAACATAATTAACATTGGAATATCAACTGGACACCGGTACAGTGTGATATACAAATTTGCTTGCCCGACAGAAAAAAACACTGGACTCGGGCCTCGGGCAATGGGTATTTCCACCCCTGTTTGTTATTGTTTACTGTATCAGGTGATACGTTGTGGATGTGAATGTTTTACTTAGATATGGAAATTAAGGTGACTTCATGACTGGTTTCTGTGTCTCTGATTTCAGTACCGCTCAATATGCCACAAGTTGGAGATACCTGTTCTCCACCTGTACCGAAGTTATCTCTCCACACCTGTCGAGATGTAAGTAACCTTGAATCTGTCTCTCCACACCTGTTGAGATATGAGTAACCTTGAATAGTATCTTGAGAGGAGTAACATTGAATCTGTCTCTCCACACCTGTTGATGTGTGAGTATCTTGAGGAGAGTAACCTTGAATCTGTCTCTCCACACCTGTTGACGTGTGAGTATCTTGAGGAGAGTAACCTTGAATCTGTCTCTCCACACCTGTTGACATTTGAGTATCTTGAGGGGAGTAACATTGAATCTGTCTCTCCACACCTGTTGATGTGTGAGTATCTTGAGGAGAGTATCCTTGAATCTATCTCTCCACGCCTGTTGACGTGTGAGTATCTTGAGGAGAGTAACCTTGAATATATCTCTCCACACCTGTTGATCATGTGAGTATCTTGAGGAGAGTAACCTTGGATATATCTCTCCACACCTGTTATCATGTGAGTATCTTGAGGAGAGTAACATTGAATCTGTCTCTCCACACCTGTTGACGTGTGAGTATCTTGAGGGGAGTAACATTGTATCTGTCTCTCCACACCTGCCAAGATGTGGGTATCTTGAGGGGAGTAACCTTGAATTTATCTCTCCACACCTGCCAAGATGTGAGTATCTTGAGGAGAGTAACCTTGAATCTATCTTTCCACATCTTTGAGTATATTGAAGAATAAACTGAATTTTAACTTGCTTGTACATTGTATCTGGACCAAATTACCATAGAAAAAAGGGCAAATTTGTGAGCTGATCAGTCACAAATTGGGCCATTAAAGAAAAACACATGCCAGACAGAAAAACCCAGTATATTTACATGGTAAGAACTTTAAACAGATGCTGCTCTGAGTTGTATTACAAGGTCTTTTGTATACATTGTGAATATAGCTGACCCCTTTTCCTTGTTTCAGATTCCGCTATATTGTGATATTTGTACTACATATTCTGGTGATATTTGAATATCCGTCCTCACTGACTATGACTTCTGATATCCGATTCCGAGGGAACCGTATTGCTGTACCCTGCTGGCTGACGGAAGGCATTGAGGTCCTGTGCCTCCTGCTCCTGTTGGCCGACACAATCATCAGGGTGGGTGGAATCAAATATATTCAAACCTAAATGTTTGGTTGGTTGGTTTGTTGTTTAACAACACACTCTGCAATATTCCAGCGATGTGGTGGTGGGCTATAAATAATCCAGTCTCGACCAGACAATCCAGTGATTAACAGCATGAGCATCAGTCTACGCAATTGTGGTACGATTACGTGTCAACAAGTCAGCATGGCTGACCATCCGATCCTGTTAGTGGCCTCTTACGACAAGCATGGGCTATTGAAGACCAATTCTAACCCAGAAACCACAAACCTTAATGTAATTTCATAATTCAGTGTAAATACAAACATGGTCAATGCTTCCCAGAAGCATGGCTAAGTGAGAGGGTTGGTTGTGTTTACATATAGACACTTTATCAAAGTATATATGCACATTTCTTGCATCTCTTTCAGTTCAAAACATAAATTAAAAGTGTGCTTGAGGAGTTTTATAAAAAGTTGAGTGAGTGAGTGAGTTGGGTTTTACACCGCTTTTAGCAATATTCCATCAATATCATGGCGGGGGACACCAGAAATGCTTGTCCAGTGTTGTGCGATGTGTGAAGCCTGTCTCTGAAGTTGTTTGTTGATATTCATGTTATTCAAGGTCTTTATTGGGTGAGTGAGTTGGGTTTTCCGCTGCTTTTAGCAATATTCCATCAATATCATGGCGGGGGACACCAGAAATGCTTGTCCAGTGTTGTGCGATGTGCGAAGCGTGTCTCTGAAGTTGTTTGTTGATATTCATGTTATTCAAGGTCTTTATGGGGTGAGTGAGTTGGGTTTTACGCTGCTTTTAGTGATATTCCATCAATATCATGGCGGGGGACACCAGAAATGCTTGTCCAGTGTTGTGCGATGTGCGAAGCGTGTCTCTGAAGTTGTTTGTTGATATTCATGTTATTCAAGGTCTTTATTGGGTGAGTGAGTTGGGTTTTACGCTGCTTTTAGCAATATTCCATCAATATCTGGCGGGGACACCAGAAATGCTTGTCCAGTGTTGTCGCGCGGCACCGTCTCTGAAAGTTGTTTGTTGATATTCATGTTATTCAAGGTCTTTATTGGGTGAGTGAGTTGGGTTTTACGCTGCTTTTAGCAATATTCCATCAATATCAGAAATGCTTGTCCGGGGACACCAGAAAATGTTGATATTGTCCAGTGAGTTGGGTACGCGCTTGTAGCAATATTCCATCAATATCACAGCGGGGACACCAGAAATGCTTGTCCTCTGTCTCTGAAGTTGTTTGTTGATATTCATGTTATTCAAGGTCTTTATTGGGTGAGTGAGTTGGGTTTTACGCTGCTTTTAGCAATATTCCATCAATATCACAGCGGGGGACACCAGAAATGCTTGTCCAGTGTTGTGCGATGTGCGAAGCATGTCTCTGAAGTTGTTTGTTGATATTCATGTTATTCAAGGTCTTTATTGGGTGAGTGAGTTGGGTTTTACGCTGCTTTTAGCAATATTCCATCAATATCATGGCGGGGGACACCAGAAATGCTTGTCCAGTGTTGTGCGATGTGCGAAGCACGTCTCTGAAGTTGTTTGTTGATATTCATGTTATTCAAGGTCTTTATTGGGTGAGTGAGTTGGGTTTTATGCTGCTTTTAGCAATATTCCATCAATATCATGGCGGGGGACACCAGAAATGCTTGTCCAGTGTTGTGCGATGTGCGAAGCGTGTCTCTGAAGTTGTTTGTTGATATTCATGTTATTCAAGGTCTTTATTGGGTGAGTGAGTTGGGTTTAATGCTGCTTCAAGTGATATTCCATCAATATCACAGCGGGGGACACCAGAAATGGGCTTCACACATTGTTCCCATTTGGGGAATCGAACCCGGGTCTTTGGCGTGACGAGCGAACGCTTTAACCACAAGGCTACCCACCTCACCACCCCTCAAGGTCTGTGTGGCTTGTTTCTGAAGTTGTTTGTTTATGTCCATGTTAATCCAGATTGTCCATGTTAATCCAGATTGTCCATTCCATGTTAATCCAGATTGTCCATGTTAATCCAGATTGTCCATGTTAATCCAGATTGTCCATGTTAATCCAGATTGTCCATTCCATGTTAATCCAGATTGTCCATGTTAATCCAGATTGTCCATGTTATTCCAGATTGTCCCTGTTAATCCAGATTGTCCCTGTTAATCCAGTGTCATATGACATGTGAAGCCTATTTCTGAAGTTGTTTGTTTATGTCACTGTTGTTCCAGGGCTATGTGATGGGCAAGTACTACTTCTGGAGACACAAGTGGCTAGTGGCTGGCTCTATCATCATCGCGATATCCCTCTTGGACTGGTCCGTGTCCGTAGCTCTTGGATGCCATGAGGTAGGGGGTGAGTGAGTGAGTTTAGATTTACGCCTCACTCAGCAATATTCCAGCTGTATGGTGGCGGTCTGTAAATAATCGAGTCTGGACAAGACAATCCAGTGATCAAAAGCATTGACATCGATCTATGCAATTGGGATTCGATGACATGTGTCAACCAGGTCAGCGAGCCTGACCACCCGATCCCGTTAGTCGCCTCTTATAACAAGAATAGTCACCTTTTGTGGCAAGCATGGGTTGCTGAAGACCTATTCTACCCCGGATCTTCACGAGTCGTTTATGAATAGACTTTTATCCTCATAGAAGCATAAATTAATCATGTTAACACAAGACATCTGATGCCAGAGGCATTCTATGTTTCTGTTGTCCTGCTGATACTAAGGGTAACTGGTGTCTGTATATTCAGTGTCGATCCTGACCAAGCATAAGGAAATATTTGGTTAATTGGCTTTGGTGATGTGTTGAAATATTTCTGAATGATGCTCTTTTGTTGCAACTGCATGTGATCTTGTATTTTGATGTTTCAGTACATTCGGTTCCGGAGAATACTGCGACCATTCTTCTTACTGCAGAACTCTACCATCATGAAGAAGACTGTCAACTGTTTGAGGAGAACCCTACCAGAAGTGGCCAGGTGGGGTGAATGGACTGCTGACCCAACTGCAGGAATAATGCCTCAAATAATTAATCTTAGGTGCAACAACTCTCTCTAGCCATCTTGGAGGCATTTGCTGCTGAATATTCTATGGTGATCTTTTAGGTATTTGTTTCTGAACAATCTCGCTATCTTCTGGGTATTTGTTTCTGAACAATCTCGTTATCTTCTGGGTGTTTGTTTCTGAACAATCTCGTTATCTTTTAGGTATTTGTTTCTGAACAATCTCGTTATCTTCTGGGTATTTGTTTCTGAACAATCTTGTTATCTTCTGGGTATTTGTTTCTGAACAATCTCGTTATCTTCTGGGTATTTGTTTCTGAACAATCTCTGAACAACTCGCTATCTTCTGGGTATTTGTTTCTGAAGAATCTCTGTTATCTTCTGGGTATTTGTTTCTGAACAATCTCTGATTATCTTCTGGGTATTTGTTTCTGAACAATCTCGTTATCTTTTATTTGTTTCTGGTATTTGTTTCTGAACAATCTTGTTATCTTCTGGGTATTTGTTTCTGAACAATCTTGCTATCTTCTGGGTATTTGTTGCTGAATAATCTCGTTATCTTCTGGGTATTTGTTTCTGAACAATCTCGCTATCTTCTGGGTATTTGTTGCTGAAGAATCTCTGATTATCCTCTGGGTATTTGTTTCTGAACAATCTTGTTATCTTCTGGGTATTTGTTTCTGAATAAGCTCTGATATCCTCTGGGTATTTGTTGCTGAACATTCTGGCTATCTTCTTTGTATTTGATGCTAAATAGTCTCTGATTATCTTCTGGGTATTTGTTGCTGAATAATTTCTGATATCCTCGGGGTATTTGTTTCTGAACAATCTCGCTATCTTCTGGGTATTTGTTGCTGAAGAATCTCTGATTATCCTCTGGGTATTTGTTTCTGAACAATCTCGCTATCTTCTGGGTATTTGTTTCTGAATAAGCTCTGATATCCTCTGGGTATTTGTTGCTGAACATTCTGGCTATCTTCTTTGTATTTGATGCTAAATAGTCTCTGATTATCTTCTGGGTATTTATTGCTGAAGAATCTCTGATTATCCTCTGGGTATTTGTTTCTGAACAATCTCGCTATCTTCTGGGTATTTGTTTCTGAATAATCTCTGATATCCTCTGGGTATCCTCTGGGTTGTTTGTTGCTGAACATTCTGTCTATCTTCTGGGTATTTGTTCCTGAATAATCTCTGATTATCCTCTGGGTATTTGTTGCTGAACAATCTGGCTATCTTCCTTGTATTTGTTGCTAAATAATCTCTGATTATCTTCTGGGTATTTGTTGCTGAACAATCTGGCTATCTTATTGGTATTTGTTGCTGAATAAGCTCTGATTATCTTCTGGGTATTTGTTGCTGAAGAATCTCTGATAATCTTCTTGGTATTTTTGCTGAAGAATCTCTGGTTATCTTCTGGGTATTTGTTGCTGAACAATCTGCTAATCTTCTGGGTATTTGTTGCTGTGACTCTTGTATATGACTGACTCTTGTATGTGACCGTGACTCTTGTATGTGACTGTGACTCTTGTATGTGACTGTGACTCTTGTATCTGTGACTCTTGTATGTGACTGTGACTCTTGTATGTGACTGTGACTCTTGTATGTGACTGTGACTCTTGTATGTGACTGTGACTCTTGTATGTGACTGTGACTCTTGTATGTGACCATGTGACTCTTGTATGTGACTCTGTGACTTCTTGTATGTGACTGTGACTCTTGTATCTGTGACTCTTGTATGTGACTGTGACTCTTGTATGTGACTGTGACTCTTGTATGTGACTGTGACTCTTGTATGTGACTGTGACTCTTGTATGTGACTGTGACTCTTGTATGTGACTGTGACTCTTGTATGTGACTGTGACTCTTGTATGTGACTGTGACTCTTGTTGTGACTGTGACTCTTGTATGTGACTGTGACTCTTGTATGTGTCTGTGACTCTTGTATGTGACTGTGACTCTTTGTATCTGTGACTCTTGTATGTGACTGTGACTCTTGTATGTGACTGTGACTCTTGTATGTGACTGTGACTCTTGTATGTGACTGTGACTCTTGTATGTGACTGTGACTCTCTTGACTCTTGTATGTGACTGTGACTTGTATGTGACTGTGACTCTTGTATGTGACTGTGACTCTTGTATGTGTCTGTGACTCTTGTATGTGACTGTGACTCTTGTATGTGACTGTGACTCTTGTATGTGTCTGTGACTCTTGTATGTGACTGTGACTCTTGTATGTGTCTGTGACTCTTGTATGTGATTGTATGTGACTGTGACTCTTGTATGTGACTGTGACTCTTGTACTCTTGTATGTGACTGTGACTCTTGTATGTGACTGTGACTCTTGTATGTGACTGTGACTCTTGTATGTGACTGTACTCTTGTATCTGTGACTCTTGTATGTGACTGTGACTCTTGTATGTGACTGTGACTCTTGTATGTGGCTGTGACTCTTGTATGTGACTGTGACTCTTGTGTGTGACTGACTCTTGTATGTGACTGTGACTCTTGTATGTGACTGTGACTCTTGTAAGTCATGATAACTCTTGTATCTGACAGTGTACTGGCTCTGCTTGGGCTCCACATCTATCTGTTCACGTTGTTCGGGATGCTGCTGTTTCCGAAAATTGAGGTGAGCTATATGCTGGGGACACTGTCCATCCCGAAATATAACACTGCTGATCCTCTGTACAAATTGTCAGTTTCATTGATGTTATAACTTACCATGTTCTCTATGGCTTCACATCTTTGTCAATTTCTTAGCACTGAGGGCACTTATGGTAAATATGGCATGTTAAGGGACGGTATATTTTCAAAAACCTTACTTTACAAGTCATGTACTGTTTCCACACTGATGAGCTTGCTGTAAAAAGAACTGTATTATGCACAGAATGTATGGATTGTCTTGTCAATAAGGTACCAAGTGCTTATAAAAGATAAGTAGAGAATGGTCAAGAAGTTGGTTACGGGAGGTTGGAATAGATGGGGTACTTAATATGCTGGATTTAGAAAGTGGTCAAATGTAATATATACTTCTTTTCAACAGTTTATATTCACTTAAAACACTCACTATATGTTATGTGTATATTTATGGTTACATCAAAGATTGATTTCTCTGCTGACTTGGGGGAACCAACTGCAAATCTTATACACATGAATTGCACGAAGATCATGCATCAAATGGCTGAAAAGCATGTGCAAATATTGTGCATGTGAACAGCTGCGTTTTGGTGTAAAGTTTTGTTAGGATTTTGCCAATTTTTGAACTCAGGACAATAATCTTTTCAGCGTTCTGAATCATGCTTATAGTGTTTGGTTCTCCTTGAATGCATAAATGATTTTGTTTACAGACAGTAGTGATGTTATGATGAAGTGTATTGTGGTAAGAATATAAACATGTTCAAACATTTTCAGAAAACACAAGAGTCGAAGTATTTCCGCACGCTACTGGATTCCTTCATGAGTCTACTGGTTCTACTGACCACAGCCAACAACCCAGATGGTCAGTACACTCACATTGTCTTTCAGAGGCATTTAGAAGTTGGAGTACTAACACAGGATACGATTAATGACTGACTGACTGAGTTTGGTTTTATGAAATCATTTCCATTATATTTAAGTTGGTTTGAATTTTAGCAATATTCCAGCAAAATCACGGTGGGGACACCAGAAATGCTTACAGGCTTCACACATTGTACCCATGTGGGGATTCAGAACACAAGAGTCGAGTATTTCCATGCAGCTACTGGTCTTCTGGCTACTGTGATGGAGCCAACTAACACAGGCTTTAACCACTAGGCTACCCCACACATTGTACACCCTAAGATTAGTGAACATCCTTATTACAATCAGGAGCGTTTATCAATCCTGGCACTATTGGTTTTTGAAAACTAGAGATTCCAAGCTTTCCAATGATACCAAATATATCTTGTTATACCTCCGGTAGACCTATCTCCTTTGTTTTTCTATACACGCACGCATGCACACACGCACCTCCAGTAGACCTATCTCCTTTGTTTTTCTATACACGCACGCAGGCTCCTCCGGTAGACCTATCTCCTTTGTTTTTCTATGCACGCACGCACGCACGCACGCACGCACGCATGCACGCACACACGCACCTCCGGTAGACCTATCTCCTTTGTTTTTCTGTACAAGCACGCACCTCCGGTAGACCTATCTCCTTTGTTTTTCTATACACACGCACGCACGCACCGCAGGATCCAATATTTAGTACAAGCTGAAATATTTTTAAATGTCGTGAGCCCTGCTTTTGACTGGACGTTTTGATGAGTTATAAATGATGAACTTTAATGTTAACGAGGAACTTTATAGTAGCTGTTTTGGAACAGCTCTTTCAGACCATTTGCTGTCAGTACTTAATCCAGATTCTGATTTAGAATTTCTGATCATTACAAAGATTTGACTACTATCTTGACCTTGGATTAAAATAGCATAGTTTATGAAATTTTGTGTTCTTCCAGAAATCTTTTTCTGAAAAAAATCCCCTACAATATTTAAACAAGTGGAATTTGAAACTGCAGTTTTTAAAGCTAGGAACTTTTAGGGATGACTAAATCATATATTTCGCAAACAGAATATGCATGCAACATATGAGTTTGATTGAGTGAGAGAGTTTAGTTTTACGCTACTCTCTGCAATATTCCAGCTATATGGTGGCGGTCTGTAAATAATCCTGGACCGACAATCCAGTGATCAACATCATGAGCATTGAGTGATCTGCACAATTGGGATACAATGACACGTGTCACCCGAGTCAGCAAGCCTGACCACCGATCCTGTTAGTCGGGTTGTAATGAGTTTGAAAGAGACATACTTATTGTATAGCATTAGACTCAGCTGATATTTTTACATCCATTTTAAATATTTGTGTGTAAAGGGTGCAGCATCTGTAGTTTTGATGATGCAGATAGTTCTGTTGGTAGTGCAATTCTGTGTCAAGCTTCGTATAACTGTCTCCGACACTGCCACACTGCCACAATTAGTGTGTGAGTTGGGTTTATGCCGCTTTTTAGCAATATTCCAACAATATCACAGCGGAGGACACCAGCAATGGGCTTTGCACATTGTACCCATGTGGGGAATCAACCCGGGTCTTCGGTCAAACCCGGACCTCAGGAAGGGGACCTTCCCCATGGTGAGGGAATGATTTAGCCACAAGGGTATACCCCACTGCCACAGGTGTCATCACTGGTCTTGTTATTGTAGCAGAGGCATTCACTTTGATTTCAGGTCATGTTTGTTAGCATTTAATCATGCTTATGTAGTGTGTACTTACGTGAACTTCATGAACTTACTTTGCCTCTATTTGAACTGTGTACTAAATCCATGATTCTGTGTTGTCATAGTTACGATGCCAGCCTACCAGAACAACCGACTGTATTCGCTGTTCTTCATCCTGTTCCTGGTGATCGGTAAGTGTTTCTGTTTCAGTGTTCCAAGTTGTTATTGGAACTTCTCAGGAATAGATCTCAGTACCGCAAAACAGTGAAACAAAGATAAATATTTCAACATTATTTTTTAACTTTTATTTGAGACCTGATTATGGATTGTATTTTGTTTTCAACACATGTGATGTCTGAAGATATTTAGTGCTGAATATCTTAATGATTTTAGATACTGACAGATTCTGTTGAATTGAAATAGCAACCTGCATCAATACCTGCAGTGTGATATGATTGTCAGAGTTGTAATAGTTCAAGATCCAGCCTGTCTCTGACAGGATAAATATTTCTTTATGTCAGAAAATATACATGTATGAACTCACTTAACTTGTATAATTGTTGATGACTTGATTGCAACAAAAGTAAGAAAGTATGGTTACAATGCCGATCCGGTGAAGTATGGAAGCATATTAGGGCCAGATTATTTTCAAAAATCACTTCATCAATGTAAGGAAGAGTGTTTCATATTAAATCCAATTATGGATAATGAAGAAAAAGGTTCAAAAGTCTGAAGAAAACAAATTTTCATAAAACTGTCAATTTATCTGTCAGTTACTACTGTTATTTACTTACCTTTAGTGATTAAAAGCCAGTCCCTTGTAGAAATGTCCCGATTTCAAGCGTAAATGTGGTAGCAGACAATGTTGACCTCGATACGGAAGTACGCTATTGCAGCTGTGCAGAAATACTGGACGCGTGGAATTACTTGACTCGCTTGTATAGTTCCTGGTTGCCATGGTGTTAAACCTTTTTATATTTTTCACACCTATATACAGATTGTTGATTGTGGATGTGAAATCTTTTCTGAATTTTCATGATTTTTGATCAATGAAGTCTTCATAATGTTATCTGGTTAGCTATCTCTCATGGGCTTTGATAGGATTGACTAACTGTGTGTATGACTGATAGAATATGACGTACTGTGTATGACCAACATGTATGACTGACTGACCTGTCTGGGTGTTGCCAGGCCTCTACTGCTTCATGAACATGCTGACAGCCGTCATCTACAACCAGTTCCGTGGCTACTTCCTGGTAGGAATGTCTCTATTATACTCACTCACTCAGGCAGCTAGCCAAACACACATCCACACAACCCACCATCACTCACCCACCTGATAACACACTCAAAAACAACCACCCAGCAATACTCTCCTCCTCCTCCGAGAGCACTCACCCACCCAAACACTCACCAACACAGTCACCCATACATCAACTCACTTACCTGCCCAAACATCCACCCATCAGTACTCTGACCCTTCATCTTCAACCAGAACACTGTCCCACCCAAACATCCACCCACCAGTACTCTGACCCTTCATCTTCAACCAGAACACTGTCCCACCCAAACATCCACCCACCAGTACTCTGACCCTTCATCTTCAACCAGAACACTGTCCCACCCAAACATCCACCCACCAGTACTCTGACCCTTCATCTTCAACCAGAACACTGTCCCACCCAAACAACCATCAGCACACTCACTCACCTTGTAGCACACTCACCCATACACCAACCCAGCAGACCATGCACACCAACATACTCAACCACTCACCAGCTCACTGAACCACTCAACAAGACACTCAACCACTCACTCAACCATTCACAGCATACTCCTTAACATCCTCACCAAGTAACTCAACCTCTCAATCAACCATTCACTAAATCACTCAGTCAAATAATCAACACTCACCAGCAAACTCTCAACCACTCACCAGCTCTCTCAACCACTCACCAACACACTCACCTTTACTAAGTAGAGATACAAAAAGTACCATCATATAACATCTTTTGCTATGACATGTGCAGATATCAAATGAGCAACCTTGTGATATCTGGCCAGATGCTCCGTCCACAACACCAGGGAGGCAGGCAGTCCCCTTGCTTAAAGTATACTATATCCTGTTGAGTATTATAACCACATTATCATTTTTTAGTTTAATGTTCATCACCTGAATGGTTGGACACTATCAGAGCACAATCCCTAGCTGATGCTGTCAAAGCTAATGTATTCCGATATTTATCTTGAAGATATTCTTTTCCTTTTCTTCAGAATTCCATGCAAGCAAGTTTTTTCCGACGACGGCTTGGAGTGAGAGCTGCGTTTGAAGTCTTGAGACGGCGAAAACTCTGTTTCCGTCACAATTCCTGTCTCCCATCTGTAGGGTGAGAATCATCTTGAAAGGATATTGCTCCACCCTTGTGGAAAAGTGACCGCAACACCATCAGAACATTTTGTAGTGTTTAGAGATAATATTAATAACCTGTGAAGATCCAGGTTAGAACTGGTCTCCAGTGACCCATGTAACCCCCGTAAGAGGCAACTGACGGGATCAAGTGTTCAGGCTCGCTGACTTGTTTGACTCATGCCATTGTATCCAAACTGTGTGGATTGTTGCTCATGTTGTTGATCACTGGATTGTCTGGTCTAGACTCGATTATTTACAGACCGCGGCCATATTGCTGGAATATTGCAGAGTGCGGCGTAAAACAACAATCAATCAGCTCTTACTGTTGTAAAACAAAGGCAGGCATTTTGTTGTATCTGGGGATATCAGTAGCACTAACTTGGTTTGAATATTCTTATCATTTACTTATCAGGGACGTGAGGCAGTTTGAATGAGAGTCATCAGAGATACAGTCATATCAGAGGGGTTTTAACCAAACCCATTTTACAACCCCCACTATAATCCATATCAGCGTTTGTAGTGAGATTTTGAGTTATGTCCCTTAGTTTACCGGCACTTTGTTTGTTCGGCTGAATTTCCAGTGTCTTCCAAACAAGTTGAAGATCCGGGGTAGAATAGGTCTTCAGCAACCCATGCTTGCCACAAAAGGCGACTATGCTTGTCGTAAGAGGCGACTAACGGGATCGGGTGGTCAGGCTCGCTGACTTGATTGACACATGTCATCGGTTCCCAATTGCGTAGATTGATGCTCATGCTGTTGATCACTGGATTGTTTGGTCCAGACTCGATTTTTTACAGACCGCCGCCATATAGCTGGTATATAGCTGGTATATAGCTGAAGGAGTAAAACTAAACTTACTCACTCACTCCAAACAAGTTGAAAATGATTGCATTCATAGTGTTTCCCAAGGATCAAAAAAGAGCAGGGCAGCAGAATGTGAAAATGGCACCCCTATTCAAAAAGGGGCATGCAGTCACAGATTTCCAAGCATTCTGTCAAGTTATTCATCGAAGAGCACAGTTATTTCACTTAACTTCAGCATGAAATTTGGGCCGCGGCGTAGCCTAATGGTTTAAGCGTCCGCTCGTCACGCTGAATACCCAGGTCCGATTCCCCACATGGATACAATATGTGAAGCCCATTTCTGGTGTCCCCCGCGGTGATATTGCTGAAATATTGCTAAAAGCGACATAAAACCAAACTCATCAGTCAGTACCATACTGGGTTTACTTTGAATCAATATAAAACATGTGATGTAATACCCTTTAAACTTTGTATGCATGTGATTCACTTGATTGGTTGTTTTAAAAACATTCCATCATGTGTTTGTGACAGCATTGAGGTGGGGGCACCTGTTGTGAAAGCTGTCGTACAGAGAGCCTTCCTGTCCAAGTCCGTCAAACAAGCTCTCCTTCAGGTAAGGTGGTATACACTCTCTCATCACAACCTACATTCTCTTCCCACAGAGGTTACTCCTGTCATATCTTCCTACGTAACCTCTGTTCTAATACGGCCATATTTCCCGGTTCTCGTAAAATCCCCTAGTGGCAAAAGATCGCAACATGAATTATCTCCCTTCTTTCTATCCAATCAGAACACGTGTTACATCGACTTAGATTCAACTTGACTAACACAAGCAAATGTGAGGCCACAAATATCCCCCATCTGCCGGGGACTTGTGTTGATGTTACACACAAGACGTTTAATGACCAGCTTGTCCGTTGTCAACGAGGGCGATGGAGACGCCACTGATCTGCCATAACATGACTGAGTTCTGTCTAGAAGAAACGTTTGCGCATTCGCGCAGGGAAGAGGTTTAGTTTTCTCAAAGTATACGGAAATTACCAAGGCCTTGCGAATGATCACTTTTGAAACAACGTCGCTGATTGCACAACTAAATCTGATTGCCTCCAATCACGAGTCTTGAACGCTCACACCATGAAAGGGCCGTATTAGAACAGAGGTTACGTAGGAAGATATGACAGGAGTAACCTCTGTGGGAAGAGAATGCACAACCTATGTCTTTGTTTAAAAGGTTGTAATTCTGTATGTTCAGATTTGTAGTAGTTATTGAGTACACTGAGATAATGTTTGAGTATTTGTCAAAAACTGACACATTCAATATGGCTGCTGACATTTAAATTCATATTGTAAATCTCAGAGCACATGTTAAAGACACATTACAGGGATCATATATTTGTAGTTCCAGCTTCAAAGGCCCATATTTTTCTGAGTGAGTGAGTTTTAGTTTTACGCCCGCTTTAGCAATATTCCAGCAGTATCAAGACAGGGGACACCAGATATGGGCTTCACACATTGTACCCATATGGGGAATTGAACCCAGGTTGGTGGGGCAGCCTAGTGGTTAAGGCGTTCGAAGACCCGGGTTTGATTCCCCACATGGGTACAATGTGTTAAGCCCATTTCTGGTGTTCCTCGCCGTGATATTGCTGGAATATTGCTAAAAGCAGCGTAAAACCAAACTCACTCACTCACTCACTCATTTTGGCCTGTACATATATACTGTTAGAAACAAACAAACCAGAAGAGGAATCCTGATATGTGAACCAGAAGTGGTGTGTGAACTACTTCTGCCTTGCGTGTACTACCACTGCATCATTACAGACTACCGCCTCGTTACAGACTACCGCATCGTTACAGACTACCGCTACAGCGTCATGTATTCAATGTTGCAGGAGCTGATGCAGAACCCCCAGGGTACATACTCCGCCACCGAGTTCCAGACACTGTTTGAGGAGCTGGAGAGGGAGCACAGGAAGGATAAGGTACAGTACATCTTGTATCTTGGCGCGTGGTCCTGTGCTCAAAGCTCAGGTCACAAATCGGTGAAGTTAAGCAGCGTCGAGCTCGGTGAGTCCTTGGATGGCTGACCGTGTTTGGCAGCTTGACTCCTGAGAGTTTCTAGGACTTGAGTCCTGCCCCACAACGAAGCACATGTGACACATGTGGTCTCACCTTAGGCAAGTGAGTTTGTTCAAAATTGTCTCTGTTCACCCAGCAGGAAAATGGGTACCTGGTGGAAAAAAGTCATATGACAATAACCTTCTAGCGCCTAACAGGCAGCTTGGGTTATCCGGGGTAATAATGTGCTGTGCCTTGATTGTTAGCGCTATGAGCATACCTAGTGTGGAGTTTGGCGCTATATAAATGGACACATTATTATTATTATTATCATGCTCTCTGACACTGACAGTACTGGTATGTGTTAATGAAGGAAGACTTTTGTATATGCAGGATGTTGGATTAACTGAAATTTTACTCAGGGCAATGGAGACACTAGTAAGAATCTATCTTAATATTAAAGTTGAAGGCATTATACAGAAACATTACATCATCTGGTCATAGGTTCAGCTGGTAGACTGGTGTTATGGTCTACTGATGGACTAGATATAGGTTCAGCTGGTAGAGCGGTGTTATGGTCTACTGATGGACTAGATATAGGTTCAGCTGGTAGAGCGGTGTTATGGTCTACTGATGGACTAGATATAGGTTCAGCTGGTAGAGCGGTGTTATGGTCTACTGATGGACTAGATATAGGTTCAGCTGGTAGAGCGGTGTTATGGTCTACTGATGGACTAGATATAGGTTCAGCTGGTAGACTGGTGTTATGGTCTACTGATGGACTAGATATAGGTTCAGCTGGTAGAGCGTGTGTTATGGTCTACTGATGGACTAGATATAGGTTCAGCTGGTAGAGCGGTGTTATGGTCTACTGATGGACTAGATATAGGTTCAGCTGGTAGAGCAGTGTTATGGTCTACTGATGGACTAGATATAGGTTCAGCTGGTAGAGTGGTGTTATGGTCTACTGATGGACTAGATATAGGTTCAGCTGGTAGAGCGGTGTTATGGTCTACTGATGGACTAGATATAGGTTCAGCTGGTAGAGCGGTGTTATGGTCTACTGATGGACTAGATATAGGTTCAGCTGGTAGAGCGGTGTTATGGTCTACTGATGGACTAGATATAGGTTCAGCTGGTAGAGCGGTGTTATGGTCTACTGATGGACTAGATATAGGTTCAGCTGGTAGAGTGGTGTTATGGTCTACTGATGGACTAGATATAGGTTCAGCTGGTAAAGCGGTGTTATGGTCTACTGATGGACTAGATATAGGTTCAGCTGGTAGAGCGGTGTTATGGTCTACTGATGGACTAGATATAGGTTCAGCTGGTAGAGCGGTGTTATGGTCTACTGATGGACTAGATATAGGTTCAGCTGGTAGAGCGGTGTTATGGTCTACTGATGGACTAGATATAGGTTCAGCTGGTAGAGCGGTGTTATGGTCTACTGATGGACTAGATATAGGTTCAGCTGGTAGAGCGGTGTTATGGTCTACTGATGGACTAGATATAGGTTCAGCTGGTAGAGCGGTGTTATGGTCTACTGATGGACTAGATATAGGTTCAGCTGGTAGAGCGGTGTTATGGTCTACTGATGGACTAGATATAGGTTCAGCTGGTAGAAGCGGTGTTATGGTCTACTGATGGACTAGATATAGGTTCAGCTGGTAGAAGCAGGTGTTATGGTCTACTGATGGACTAGATATAGGTTCAGCTGGTAGAGCGGTGTTATGGTCTACTGATGGACTAGATATAGGTTCAGCTGGTAGAGCTGGTAGAGCGGTGTTATGGTCTACTGATGGACTAGATATAGGTTCAGCTGGTAGAGCTGGTGTTAGGGGTTCAGCTGATGGACTAGATAGCCCGGACCAATGTTCAGCTGGTAGACTTCGTATGGTTTACTGGTGTAATAAACATAAAATACTGATGGACTAGATGATCATAATTCAGCTGGTACCCACTGTTATAGTCAGAATTTTGTCCTAATGATATGTTTATTAGTTTTCGAGTTAGATTCCAATTCATAGGTCCGCTTTTGAGCCAAACGGATGGACTAGATATGGGTTCAGCTGGTAGACTGGACATGGAATTGCGGAATCTGTCAAACTATCAGCCGATTTTGTAATCTGTCAGTCCTTATGTTGAATAAAACAATGTTATATCTTTATGCAGTGCCTTTGAATATTTAAAAAGTTGTATCATCATAGATTTATAGCATTAAAAGTTGATCTGTCTCACAGAGGCCGGATGTACACTGGTATGAAAATCCAATACTGAGAAGGATACAGAGGGTGTTTGTCCACAACTATTTCTCCTACTTCGGAAGTGTCATCGCCGTCGCTAACGTCATTGTCATCTCTGTGAGTAGAGTTGTAATCACCTCCAGTTTCCTAGAAAATGTCATGGATGTTCAAATTTTCTCATAAATCCATGTATATTTTGTAATATGTCTTCAAACACTTGGGTATTTCCAGGAGCTGGTGATTTCATAATCCAGCTTTTATAGCAGTAGTGGCAATTTTTGCTTTCATGATATCATATTATTTTTTCTTATCCTGACTCATGATCTTTTGCTTTTCTCTCTTTCCCATTTCAAATGGTAGTGGAACACTTGAATCCCTTGAAGTTCTGAGGGGACGTAAAAATACCCTCACCCAAGAGTTACCTCCCTTTTGCCCTTTTCCCGGGCAAACAGTCATGTGACCAGCCTTACTTGTCACTCTCTCCCTTTTCGCCCAAGCGGATGGTTGGGCGAGCACTGGAGTCCCATATACGGCATTATATCCTTTTTATTTAGGTCCTATTCTTCAAAATTACACTGTATATGGATTTGGCAATAACTACTATGCATTATATGTAAAGATTTTGAAAAAAATATTTGTATTTGTGTCTTTATTTCATTGTTATGTAACTTTGTTTACATTTCATGAAATCTTGCAGTGTTTGCAGGCACAGGTTATCTGGCTGATCCTCACCCCCAGTGCCCTTCGTGCATAAAACCACGTTCTTCCAGCTTGCGCTGTACATATTGTGTTGATTTATCAAATCTTCAATTTAATCAATATTTGTCTTATATCTATAGATGTGCCATGGATCGGGTGAGGAAGTCATCTCAAGTCAGGGCTGATAAAACAGGAGATCAGCCTTCAAACCGTATGTTGCTTGCTACTGCGAAGTTCATAATACTGGTGCTATGTTTAGTGCGTTGCAGGGGCAGTCTGCTGGTACGGGGGCCAAGAAGAGATCGGCTACAAGGCAGTTGACTCTGACTCAGGCTAAGAAAAAGACGTCATCTTCTTCTACATCGCAGAAGAAAGCATCTGTTACCAGATAGGAGGGTAAATCTACGCATGCTAGTAAGTCAACGCAGCAGAAATCCTTCAACGAAGAGATATTACCTCCACATGAAGTACCCAAGAAGAACTCCAAGGAGAAGTTCAGACTGATTTACAACATGCGCGCAAATTCAACAAAGACTATCTACTGAAACCAGAGAGGTTCAGAATGATCCACCTACCTCAACTCAGACTACTTGTCCATCCAGCAGATTACATGGCCCGCATAGACCTACAGGATGCGTATCTACACATCCCGATACATCCGGAATCAAGAAAGTATCTACGATTCCTATTCAGAGGGCAGCACTTCCAATGGAATGTCCTACCGTTTGGAATATCTTCGGCTCCGTGGCTATTCACACGAGTAACCAAACCTATAGTCACATATCTACATCATCGAGGTCTACGCAATGCCTTCTACTTGGACGACGGAATTCAGGTTCACCAAGATGCCAGTCAACTCAGACTACAGCTGAACTTCACGATCAAACTGCTAACTCAACTAGGATGGCTGGTGAACCTTATGAAGTCAGAGTTGGAACCAAAACAAGATCTGCAATTTCTGGGGATAAGGTTTATCACAACACAGAATCATATTGTCATCCCAGAAGAACGTTGGGTCAAGATACAAGCCATGATTCCACCAGCAGTCATCTCTCCGTTAACACTACGATCATGGCAAGGTCTACTCAGTCTACTAACCTCAGCGCAGGACTTGACCGCACAGGAAGGTTACAACTAAGACTGCTGCAACGGTTCCTGACAAAACATCTAGACAGCGTTGACCCTATCTTGCTGCCAGACAACCTCAAGAGGTATCTACTGTGGTGGACGCACAGGTCGAACGTTTGCGGAGGGACTTATTTACAAAAGCCGTCCTTCGACACACATCTCTATGTAGACACTTCGATGCAGGGCTGGGGTGCGCATCTCAACAATCAAGTTGCGTCAGGAAGGTGGTCCAAAACATCTTCACATCAATCTGCTGGAGATGAAAGCTGTGATCAACGCCTTACAACTATGGTCGAGCTCGCTGAACAACAGAATGCTGATGGTCCACACGGACAACTCTACAGTGGCATTCTCCATAAATTGGCAAGGATCCACAAGCCTGCTACAGCTCACATTCCAGTTGTTCCACATCACAGAGGAAGCAAACATCTGGATAAAGGCGTGTCACATACCCAGAGCCAAGAACGCACTTTCAGACGCTCCCTCCCGACCACTGCACCCGTCACCTACGGTACTGATGCTCCATCCAGAAGCGTTCTGGCTCATCATAAGGGAAATAGGATCCCCTTGCATAGACCTGTTTGCCATGAGGTTCAACAAACAACAACAGACGTTTGTCTCACCAGTTCCAGATCCTCAAGCCTGGGCAACAGATGCACTGAGCATATCTTGGGAAGGACTAAACACTTACGCGTTTCCATCCCCGATATTACTTCCGGAAGTACTGTTGAAGACAGACACAGGCGCTACAACTGACTTTGGTCGCGCCATACTGGCCAGCGAGAGTATGGTTCCTAGACTTAATAGAAGATCTTGGAAGTCCAGCAATCAAGTTACCAGACTGGCCGAACCTACTCATACATCCGCACACCAAACAAGCCCACGGAAACCCAACAGTGTTCCAGCTACACATGTGGACCGTATCAAAACATGTTTGAAGAAAAGAGGATACTCTGCCAGGGCAGCCAAGGCAGTAATGCTAGCGTTACGCAGATCTACTCGTAACCTCTATGATGACAAGTGGCTGAAGTTTGAGACTTATGCAAGGCAGAAAGGCTTCATTGCGATGAAAGCTACTCATCCTCAAGTGGCGGAATACCTGTGTCATCTTAGACAGACCAGACATCTAAAGAGTTCGACATTATCTACATACCTCGCCGCCATCAGTACAGTGATTACCATGAAAACAGGCATCAAGTTGACGAAAGTACCAGAATTACTTGCTCTGCTGAGATCTTTTAAACTGGAGGACCAGCAAAAGAAGTTCAGAGCTCCGGCCTGGGATCTGAATGTAATTCTACGTCATCTTACGAGTGATGCCTACGAACCACTAGATCAGACTACCTTCGAGCTGCTGACACAGAAGACTCTGTTCCTGCTTGCGCTAGCCACGGCAGCTTGATTATCAGAGATACATGCGCTGGACTTTGGTCGAACCAGATTCGACACCCGGCAACATGCTGCAGTACATCTAGGACTTAGATGGGACTTCATTGCCAAGAACCAACTACCTGGTCAGCCAGATAGACAGTTCCACGTACCAGCGCTATCTACAATCCTCGGCCCAGAGGATGTAGAAGACCTATCCTTGTGTCCGGTCAGAGCCCTGAAGATATATCTTCAAAAGACTGAGACAAGGAGACAAAAATTCAAGCGCCTGTTCATCCCATTATCAACAGAAACATCAGCAGAAGTCTCAAGAACGACCATATCGTTCTGGATGAGAGCCGTCATATTGAGAGCCTATAAAGCAGCAGGACTAGAACCTCCTAGAGCTTCCAACCCACACAAAGTCAGAGCACTGGTGTCAACACTGGCTCTGCAATTTGCTCTATACCAGCAATTATGGAGGGCTGCTTTTGGAAGTCGGACATGGTGTTTGCCAACCACTACCTCCGAGACATAGCCACTGAAGACATCTCAGGCATTCACCAATTTGGGCCTGTCGTTGTAGCACAGCAACTAACAGTTCCTCAAAAGCGCTGAGTTGGAAATTCTCACCCTTTATCACGTTGACTTGTTGATAACTTTTACTAAGGAAAAAGTATTAGTTTGAAAGTCCATGCGCACAGTCTAGGACTGGCTAGCATGAGTGATTAAAGTTCCTGTACGGGTAAAGATCTTACCTGTATGTGAAGGGGTCGCAACTCATTTATGATGAAGATCTTATCATAATCTATGGGTTGTTATGAGATATCTAGTAATAAGAAGATACTAGTTTATCTGTAGCCACATGAATCAACATGATTCAACTTGTCTGAGACTGAAGTAAGACAAGAAAGTGGTTCCCCCGAGTTATAACGGAAGTTGGAACTATAGGATCATGGAAATGCCGTTTCGCAGTTCCCATGGGGGGGATACAGGACGTATCTAAGGACAGCTGATGAATCCACGAAGTGGCTTGACCAACCACCAATCCGTCGGATTCTATAAGCAAAAGATCATGAGTCAGGATAAAAAAAAATATGTAATTTTTAAAGTAAAATTGATATTTTTATACTTATCCTGACTCATGACGAGAGCCCTCCCAACCTCCCCATTGGAGACACTTTGGATTTCACAGCAGATCCAAGTGCATGGGCAGAAAATCAGGAGAGAGTGACAAGTAAAGCTGGTCACATGACTGTTTGCGCGGGAAAAGGGCAAAAGGGAGGTAACTCGTGGGTGAGTGTATTTTAACATCCGCTTCGGGAACTTCAAGGGATTCAAGTGTTCCACTACCATTCGAAAAGGAAAGGGAGATAAGCAAAAGATCATGTGTCAGGATAAGTATAAATATATCAATTTTACTTGAAAAATTACATAATTATTACCTGTTTATAGGCAAGGTTAACCATGCCTCTGTGTAGATTTACCTCCCTTGTTCCTGCCAGGATATGGTGATTGTGAAAGATTCACCCTGATTGCAATACATGGCTTGCCAGCTCAGCTTGTGGGTGTGAACCAAGGTTGTCAATAGCTATGGCTTTTTTCACAGTGGTTACCTCCCTTGATAAGCTGTTGCAACAGTAAAAGAATTATTATTCACCTGCTGTGACTGTTTAAGAATCTTGCTATGTTTAGATTTCTGTAGAAAAGGATAACCTACCAATATCCTCTGATACTATAGTGACCTTCACCTTCTGTGTTTGCAGATACAGCTTGCCACACGCTATGGCTGAGTCCATCAGCTCCAGTCATTCCTTGTTGAGGGTTCGTGGAAGCTTTTACTTCGAATCTCTGTATGACTGATTATGTTGGTTGGTTGGTTGGGTTGCTGTATAATGCCGCACTCAGCAATATTCCAGCTATATGGCAGCAGTCTGTAAATAATCGAGTCAGGACCAGACAATCCAGTGATCAACAGCATGAGCATCGATCTATGCAATTGGGAACCGATGACATGTGTTAACCAAGTGTGTTAACCAAGTCAGCAAGCAAGGGTGACTGAAGATCCGATATCCCGTTAATCGCCTTTATAACAAGCAAGGGTTGCTGAAGATCAATTCTAACACAGATCTTCATTTGCAATGCATAAATATTCAAGTTTCCAATTTTGTTTCGATACACAACTATGATAAAACACAGATAGTAATAAGCCTCTCTCTATATTTTTAATGGAATAGTTTCACATTATGTTACAAAGATAGTTACCAGCACATCTTTGATTCATCCCTGCAGGTGACCAACTTCACATTTGTCATCTACTACTTTGTGGAACAGACTCTGAAAGTGTGGGCGACGGGTCCGCGGCGCTACATATATTACTACACCAATATCTTTGATGCCCTCATCACCCTGGCTTTGGTGGTAGGTTGTTCTGTCATCTTTGTGGTGGTGGGGATTCTCCAATGAGATCAAGTTTCTGTACATGTTTTCTTTATTCGGTCCTATCTTTACATTAGAAGATGTAAAAAGATGTGTGCTTCAGTGTTATACTTACTGGCAAACAAGGATAAGTTGAGCACTGACCTGACTATTGACCCGTATTAGCATGTATGAGTGCCACCCACTGGTGCTTGCCATTGTGAGAGAAGGGACCCCAGGTTGTCCGCGATCAAGTGTAGTGCTACAGCGACCACGTGAGAGTCAAGTCTTATGAGCAAGGCATGTGCAGCTATGCGCGGAATCAATTTCATTGTCATGCACTGCACGTGCACTAGCCTACATCTGCTCTATCTTTCACAAACCAAATGGGTTTGCTCATGGCAGTGCACCACCTACTTCTCGTAAACGCGTTCTCTGCACCGGTCCAACTTATCCTTGTTTGCCAGTAGAAATGTCATCACATAAAAAACCTGTTGTATCATTAGAAGTCAGAGACATCACCGTGGAGGCAGTATTCTGTTATGTTGTGAAAGGATGAAGGATGGTTCATTTAATGGTCAGAATGACGAGCATTGAAACTCGTACACTCGGAAATCTTGAGGATATTTCGCGTTTTAAGCTGGAAGTTAATAGTCTGTTTGAAGTTGTGTTCCCTCAAACATTAACACGAATGTTTTTTCAGGGCTTTTTAAGAGTGGAGAAATTCAAACTAAGATGCCCTGTGTTGGACGATGTTCTTTTTTGCTGATAGTATGCTTAACCAAGGGTAAGATATGGTAACTGAGAGTATTTTTTGTTTGAAAAAATTGTCTTATGTCACAATGTCACATTGGCGTCACTGCGCCATTCTAGTCTGCACCCTCGTAATCAAACGTACTTCTGGTACATGTCAGTTGTCATCACCTTGTACAGCCTCCAACAGGTAACTACTCCGTAGCACCACGTTTCTTGGTTTGCAGTTGCTTCATTTGGCTAACATCACTGGTGGACACATTACGTTTTTATTTTTCAATGGATATAATGTCTCAGTTCGACTCACAATTAATCAGCGACACGCGCCATGCAAGCATCCTCGTGCTTTAACTATAATACGTCAGGGCGAGAGTGTGCTTTATTACACTATACATGGTGGTAGAGCGAACTGTATTTCTTAAGCATAAATAGTCTCAAAGTAAGCGTAAGAAATAATTATTCTTCAAACTGTAGAAACTAAAAGTGACTGTCGCCTAAAATACACTGTTAGATTATACTTTAAACAAATGAAGAACTAGCAGTTTTGATTATAAAGCATCTGGTTTTGCAGAGGCATGTGAAGAAATGTCTCGCCTCCATGTTGATACATAAAAACCTCTTGTATGGGAGAGGGCGAATGGTTAATGGAGACGGGGTGTAATGCATACCATTACGGTCTTCATATTACGTCACGTACTCATATTAAATCCTGGTCAAAATGAAAGTCCGACGAATCCTTGCTACCTCATGAATATCTTCCTTTGAAACAAATATTTTCATGTTTGAGAGTGTTGAAGTAAAGCATCTGAAGAGTGACTGTACATGATTTCAAGTGTTGTCTGTATATTTCAGGTAGGAGAGATATTTACGGGAGTAGAGTATGGATTTCCCTACTCGTCCAGGTGAGCCCCAGAGTGTCTGTCAAAATATTCAACATGGGAAAAGTAACATTTTATCTCATTGTAGCAGGGACTGTACACATGGAAGACATCCTTTTTGTTTGCTGATGGGGTTATTTTAAAGCTGTTTGGTCATATGGACAAGGTGTTTAACCTTGATCAGAGGTTCTGTGGTTCGAATCACAACTCACAACAAATGTTGTGGTCACTATATATTACGATGCATGGTGTGGTATCTGATAGGTTAAAAAACTTTGATCTTATAGCATGAAAATCTTCTGGACTTTTCACAGCATACAAATGCATACATGTTTTCATGAAGGTAACTTAATGATTATTATATTGATCCTATGTTAAGTTTGTGCTGTGAATTTTCCTTCAGGTAACTATAGTCGATTCACTGATATTCTAGCATTTGAAACATCCAGGAAGTTAGTTTGGAAAATGGTCAAAGCCACTACTTGTCATGTAACACTAATTACAATGAAACATAATTTTGGTTCTACCAAGAAATTTAGAACCAGTGGATAATTGAAAAATCAAGGGTGAGACAGGTCTTTGACATAACTACAGTTGAGCACAAATGCGGTAGTATTTCTGCTGTCATTTTGTAGTTTATTTATGTGAAGCTGTGACATGGGGTTTGTGTACCTGAACTCTTTGTTTGTAGCACCTCGACACATGCCACCACATCCAAGCTGTGGAACACCGTGCGCTTCATCAACATCCTCATCATGGTCAGGCTCTTCCGCATCATCCCCCACATCAAGGTCAGTGGGGTTCAGATGAGTGAGTGAGTGAGTGGGAGTGAGTGAGTTTAGTTTTACGCCGCACTCAGCAATATTCCAGCTATATGGCGGCAGTCTTTAAATGATCGAGTTTGAACCAGACAATCCAGTGATCGACAGCATGAGCATTCAATCTGCGCAGTTGGGTGGGTGGGTGGATGGGTGAGTGAGTGAGTGAGTGAGTGATCGAGTGAGAGAATGATCGAGTGAGTGAGCGAGTGAGTGGGTGGTTGTGTGAGTGAGTAAGCTAGTGAGTGTGAGAGATTAAACTGCCTTTATTGACCAAGGCAACACAATTCGTTGTGCAGAGTTACCTCCCTTGCGCAAGGTAGAAGCCTCATTGTGGGTTCAAATCCCTGTTCAGCCCAGTTATGTTTCTAGATCTGTTTGTTGTATTTCACCTAAGTGGGGAAGGTCTGAGACCTGTATCACCTTGAGATTTCTTCCTACATTAAGCTGATGAGCAGTGATTTAACTGGATTACTGTTCAAAGCAGTGTTAAGCCACTCATGATAAGCAGTCAAGTGTCCACATCATGTGGAGGAGCCTCCGTGTGTTTGCAACACTTAGGTAACTTACTCGGGCTGCAACAAAAACACTATGAGGAGAATATGATATGTTTCAGGAATATAGGGTAATACAAGTATTTATTCATGAATACCTTTTGTTTAATGACAAGGAATAGAGATAACAAAAATATCAAGCAATTGCCCAGGTTGAAACATTTTATGATATTTTGTAAGCCTTCAAGCAATGCATTACCACAATGCCAGTCTGTCATAGCATTGACTACTAGTAAATGGCATAAGTTACATTACTGCATGATTGCATATCTTTCTTTAATGAATAACACATTCCAAGTAAACGCTCTTTTAGAAAAATTGCAAACAATCGATTCTAGTAACAATGAATAATGAATTGAATCCATGTAGTGAAATGGTTTGTTTCTCCGATAAGGCGTGTCGAGTGTAAGAGCCCTATATCTTCTGTATCATGAAATACTAAACACCCTTTGTCATACTGTATCTCATTGACGTCCTGCAGGCCACATCTGTGATAGCAAGCACCCTCATAGACCTGGTGAAGAACCTCAAGGCCTTTGCCGGTATCCTTGTGGTAAGCACTGGTTTCTTAATTTTCAACCTCTCTTCAGAAACTCCTAGCCTATGATGACACAAAAGTGTTGGTACTGTTGGCAGTGTATGAAAGAAGGCCTGTCCAACCGCCCGAGACGGGCTAGATTTCTGTCGGACGGTTTAATATACAGTTAGCCAGCCCGATGGTCTGGTAAAAAGTTTAGATAACATTTTCCATAAATCTGAGTAAATTCACCATGTCTTAAAATGTATTTTTCAAACTGAGCGTTACATTTAGACTTGACAATTACTGTTTGAACTATCGTATCGCAAGCTCAAAGCACTGCGTTGACGTACTATCGATGCGCGGAGTAAATACATGTCTTAGGTTCATTAAATTAATCATTGTAACTAAAAAAAATAGTATTTTCTATGTATTGTCTGGTCTGGTTAAATCCATTTTGGGCTGGTAACATTTTGAGGTTACCAGCCTGGATGTCTGGCTGTGTTTTTGGCTTATTTCATACACTGCTGTTAGTAATTGAAATTTAATGTCTGGAACCAGAAACTGGATTTCTGTACAAATGGAGCATATCATTCACCAGGAGATGCTTCCATGTATGTGGGGTCTGGATAAGAGGGGTTCCACTGTATCCATTGTCCAGTAAAATATATGACTGTTTTATACAGGTGATCTACTACTCCTTCGCTATAGTTGGCATGGAACTGTTCCACGATGTCATCAAGTACCAGCCAATGAGTGCCAACAAGAATGACACCAACAGGTGAGTCCGCAGTTCGATGATCCATGAATATACAGAAACACAGATGTGAGTCTGATAACCCATCTGTATCTGGTCTTCTTCATGCCGTGACAAATTTGAAGAGTCGTTGTTAGCCATTTCTTTAATTCATCCCATTGATGTGTATGTTGAGAAAAATAATATTTGATGATTAATACAATGAAATGATTGATAGGAGGGCAAAAATATACTCTCAGTTTTCAGCATCCAAAATATTATCCAGTAAGTCTTTGTGGAAATATTTGCCAGAATTCATGAAGATCTTGTTTGAACATTTTTGTGATTCCAAAGTTGTGAGGTAATTCTGTAGGAAAGCCTATATGACTTTATTTGTTTTTGTTATGTTTATGTTTTATGTTTAATGCTCATGTATTTCCAGATTCTGCAGTTTTGCAATTATCAGATGAAACACCTGTGTTTTTTGTAAATTCTGTCTCATGTTGTGTAAAATAATGCACAGAATATCCTCGAATTGAACGGCATATATATTTTTTTACTCACCAAAAATGCAAGACAGCTTTGATGTACTGAGAAAAGGGCCTGTACTCTGTTGTTTCACTGAAGCCCTTCTGTTTCAGCTCCAGCTTTCATTGTGGCTCCTACCAGCAGCTGGAGTACTGGGCCAACAACTTCGATGACTTTGCCGTATGTTTTATACAGTACTGTCATGTGCCACAACACATTTACCACAAGCACCAAACATTGTTGGTAGACAAGTAGCTGTAGTCCTGCAAACATGTAGTTCAGCTGTAGAGCTGTAGTCAGCTGTAGTCCTGCTGTAGTTCCAGCTGTAGTCCTGCTGTAGTCCTGCTGTAGTTCAGCTGTAGTCCTGCTGTAGTCCTGCTGTAGTTCAGCTGTAGTCCTGCTGTAGTTCAGCTGTAGTTCAGCTGTAGTTCTGCTGTAGTCCTGCTGTAGTTCAGCTGTAGTCCTGCTGTAGTCCTGCTGTAGTTAAGCTAGTCTGCTGTAGTTCAGCTGTAGTCCTGCTGTAGTCCTGCTGTAGTTCAGCTGTAGCTTCAGCTGTAGTCCTGCTGTAGTTCAGCTGTAGTCCTGCTGTAGTTCAGCTGTAGTTCAGCTGTAGTTCAGCTGTAGTCCTGCTGTAGTTCAGCTGTAGTCCTGCTGTAGTCCTGCTGTAGTCCTGCTGTAGTCCTGCTGTAGTCCTGCTGTAGTCCAGCTGTAGTTCAGCTGTAGTCCTGCTGTAGTCCTGCTGTAGTTCAGCTGTAGTCCTGCTGTAGTTCAGCTGTAGTCCTGCTGTAGTTCAGCTGTAGTCCTGCTGTAGTCCTGCTGTAGTTCAGCTGTAGTCCTGCTGTAGTCCTGCTGTAGTTCAGCTGTAGTCCTGCTGTAGTTCAGCTGTAGTCCAGCTGTAGTCCTGCTGTGGTAGTTCAGCTGTAGTCCTGCTCCTGCTGTAGTTCAGCTGTAGTCCTGCTGTAGTTCAGCTCATGTAGTTCAGCTGTAGTCTGTAGTCCTGCTGTAGTCCTGCTGTAGTCCTGCTGTAGTCCTGCTGTAGTCCGCCTGCTGTAGTTCCTGCTGTAGTTCAGCTGTAGTTCGGCTGTAGTCCTGTAGTTCGGCTGTAGCCTGTAGTCCAGCTGTAGTTCAGCTGTAGTTCTGCTTAGTCCTGCTGTAGTCCTGCTGTAGTTCAGCTGTAGTCCTGCTGTAGTCCTGCTGTAGTTCAGCTGTAGTCCTGCTGTAGTCCTGCTGTAGTTCAGCTGTAGTTCTGCTGTAGTCCTGCTGTAGTCCTGCTGTAGTTCAGCTGTAGTCCTGCTGTAGTTCAGCTGTAGTCCTGCTTTAGTCCTGCTGTAGTTCTGCTGTAGTTCAGCTGTAGTCCTGCTGTAGTTCAGCTGTAGTCCTGCTGTAGTCCTGCTGTAGTCCTGCTGTAGTTCTGCTGTAGTTCAGCTGTAGTCCTGCTGTAGTCCTGCTGTAGTCCTGCTGTAGTTCTGCTGTAGTCCTGCTGTAGTCCTGCTGTAGTTCAGCTGTAGTTCAGCTGTATTCCTGCTTTAGTCCTGCTGTAGTTCTGCTGTAGTTCAGCTGTAGTCCTGCTGTAGTTCAGCTGTAGTCCTGCTGTAGTCCTGCTGTAGTCCAGCTGTAGTCCTGCTGTAGTCCTGCTGTAGTTCAGCTGTATTCCTGCTTTAGTCCTGCTGTAGTTCTGCTGTAGTTCAGCTGTAGTCCTGCTGTAGTTCAGCTGTAGTCCTGCTGTAGTCCAGCTGTAGTTGAGCTGTAGTCCTGCTGTAGTTTAGCTTCAGTTCAGCTGTAGTCCTGCTGTAGTTCAGCTCTAGTTCAGCTGTAGTCCTGCTGTAACTTAGCTATAAATAGTTAACTTGGAACAGATAATCTCCAGTTCCTCACAGCTTTCATGTTATTCTTTAATAATCACTGGAGGTCAACCAACTGGACTCTACTCAATAGTAAGATGGCTGGTCAAGCAGATAGATCGATACCAGGTTGAGGAGGGATAAGGAGTCAACAGTATTGCTGCTTCAGTTTCACCTGTTTGTGATATCCATTTGATATCCGAGTGAGTGAATGAGTTTGGTTTTACGCCGCTTTTAGGAATATTCCAGCAATATCACAGCGGAGAACACCAAAATGGGCTTCACACATTGTACCCATGTGGGGAATCGAACCCGGGTGTCTTCAGCATGACAAGCGAACACTTTAACCACTACACTACCCACCAATCATGTGTGTAATAAGAATGTGTCACAATTTGTCAGTGATTATTAAAGCTTGTAATATCAGCACTGTTGATTGTTTGATTGCTTTGTTAATCACATGTACTTTGACTTGAGGACAGTGATGAAATCTTGGGACCGGAATTGTCCGAAGGTATTTTGAAGTACATGGCTGCTGTTATGTTGCAGGCGTCTGTGGTGGTGTTGTGGGACATCATGGTGGTGAATAACTGGATGGTGTTCCTTGCTGCATTCAAACAAGCAACATCTGCGTAAGTACTACATGCCATTGTACGTTTTTGATAATTATCAAAGGTTCGCCCTGAAAGTTCATTGTTTAAGAAGAAAGGAAATGATCAATTTGATAGCAAAAATTGAGGGCTCATGTTTATCTGAAATCTAATTTTCAAATGTGTATTCCTTGCAGCATTTGTTTATAATCTTTTGTGTAACCCACCTTTAATCCACATCAGTTTATGCAAAATGGCATGTTGGGTAAGTTCATTGATGAAAATTGATGATTCAGAGTGACAAAGTGAGTGTGATTTTTATATAGAATACATGAAAGAAAATGCATAAATACCTGAATATTGCACACTGGTAAATATGTTTACAATAACTGGATACTGTAAACTGGTAGGCACAAAATGAAGTTTTCATACAAAAATATGTTTAGCAACCAAACTCAGAACACTGGAAAATGCTTATGTGGTAGTTTTGCTGTTTGTGACAATAAATCCTAAATGATGTTAGCTGGAGAAGGTAGACTTCTAATCTCTGTGTTCCAGGTGGGCCTACCTGTTCTTTATAGCCTGGTGGCTGCTGACCGTGGTCATTGTTCTCAACCTGTTCACAGCTCTAATCCTGGAGGTGAGTGAGTCAGTGTGTCTGTGTCAGGTGTGTCTGTGTCAGGTGTGTTCCAGGTGGGCCTACCTGTTCTTTATAGCCTGGTGGCTGCTGACCGTGGTCATCGTTCTCAACCTGTTCACAGCTCTAATCCTGGAGGTGAGTGAGTCATGATGGCACTGGTTGTCTGTCAAACATGGATGTGTCTGTGACAGGTGAGTCTGTGCCAGGTGTGTCTGTGCCAGGTGTGTCTGTGTCAGGTGTGTCTGTGCCAGATGTGTCTTACCAGGTGTGTCTGTGTCAGGTGTGTCTGTGCCAGTAGTTTGTGCATGGTGTGTCTGTGCCAGGTGTGTCTGTGTCAGGTGTTTGTGCATGATGTGTCTGTGCCAGGTGTGTCTGTGTCATTGGTGTGTCTGTGCCAGGTGTAATCTGTGTCAGGTGTGTCTGTGTCAGGTGTGTCTGCACCAGGTGTGTCTATGTCAGGTGTGTCTGGCCGGCCTACCTGTTCTTTATCAGGTGTGTCTGGCCAGGTCATGTTCTCAACCTGTTATCAGGTGTGTCTGTGTCAGTCAGTGTGTCTGTGGGTGTGTCTGTGCAGGTGGTGTGTCTGTGTCTTTTTATAGATTGGTGTGTCTGTGGCCCAGGTGTGTCAGGTGGCCAGTGTTATCTAGTGTCTTGTCGGTGTGTCTGTTGTATCTGTGTCAGGTGTGTCTGTGTCCGGTGGCCAGGTGACCTACCTGTATCTTTATAGCCTGGTGGCTGCTGGTGTGTCATTGTTCTCAACCTGTCTCACAGCTCTAATCCTGTGCCAGGTGAGTGAGTCAGTGTGTCTGTGTCAGGTGTGTCTGTGTCCAGGTGTGTCTGTCAGGCCGGTCTGTCGTCGATGTTGCAATTGTGTGTTCCAGGTGTACCTGTTCTTTATATAGCCGGTGGCTGCTGACCTGTCATCAGTTCTGTGATACAGGTCTTAATCCTAGGTCAAGTGTCTGTGTGTCTGTCTAACAATAGGTGTGTCTGTGTCAGGTGTGTCTAGGTCAGGGCCTACCTGTCTTTATAGCCTGGTGTCTGCTGACTGACTGCAGTCATTGTCCAACCTGTTCACAGGTGTCCTGGCCAGGTGTGTCTGTGTCAGGTGTGTCTGTGTCAGGTGTGTCTGTGTCAGGTGTGTCTGGAGCCACCTGTGTTTATGCCAGGTGCTGCTGACAAAGTCATTATTGTCAACCTGTTGTCAGGTGTGTCTGAGGCCAGGTGTGTCTGTGCCAGGTGTGTCTGTGGGGTGTGTCTGGCAAGGTGTGTCTGTGTCCAGGTGTGTCTGTGCCATGTGAGTCTGTGTCAGGTGTGTCTGGCAAGGTGTGTCTGTGTCAGGTGTGTCTGTGTCAGGTGTGTCTGGCAAGGTGAGTCTGTGCCAGGTGAGTCTGTGTCAGGCGTATCTGTCCCAGCTGTATCTGTTGGTTGTGTGTCTGTCACAGGCATGTCCGACCCAGATGTGTCTTGTCCCATTTACAGACAGCCAAGACAAGGTGACTTATTGCTTTCTACAACATAACACATCACTGTCTCACATGTACTGGGTGTTTGGGTGGCCTTGTGGGTGAGGTATTGCCATGCTATGCTGAAGCCATGGGTTGATTCCCCATGTGGGCAGACTGCATGAAGCCGTTCTGTGTTATAACTTATGACGCTAAAGCCGTATGAAACGAAACTTGGTCAGTCACTTCTGTTTGATCAGGACCAGGTGAGAACAGTGATGTCACATGTAACTCTGTTCTGGTTGGAAGGTGCTACTTTTCAGATGATGATCACCCTGTTTTGTCTTATCCAAATTGTGTATAGACCCCTGCCAAAAATGTTTGAAAATTCAGATTTGTACTGTTGTTGAGTTTGTGAGATACACAGGGTAATATTTGTAAAACACTGCTGCAGAACTTCATCATGAAGTGGGACAAGATCCTGCACACCTCCCGTGATCGCTCCGAATCCGGACACGTTGAAGAGGCCAGTCACCTCATGTCTGTACACGAAATGTTCCGGTAAGTCTGCTGTACATAAAATGTTCTGTTGAGTGTATCTGTGCTCATAATGCTTCACTGAGCCTGCATGTACATGAAACATTCCGGTTAGTCTGTTTGTACATTGTTATGGTGAATCTCTCTCTCCACAATGTCCTTTAATGGGGTCTGTGCCCCCAAATGTTCTGATGACAATTTCTGCCCATGAAATGTTCTGAGGAGTCAGAACATGTTAAAAATCTTCCATTGAATCAGAGGCGGTGGGGTGAGCCCTAGTGGTTAAAGCGCTTACTTGTCACGAAGACCTGGGTTCGATTCCACATGGGAACAATGTGCAGCCCATTTCTGGTGTCCCCCGCCATGATATTGCTATAAAACTACACTCACTCACTCCTCCATTGAATCTGTAATTACTTATTACAGAGACATGGGTTAAGCTGATTTTCTGTATGTGAACACGAAAGTTACAATAACAGGTGGATATGAAGACTGATACTTAGACTCTGAATTTGTAAAATTTTGTGGAAACAAAACATTCCATTCAATTTAATTTGAAAATAAGCCTGAAAGTTAGGAGATTCGGAACCTGAAACCTGTTTTATTTAGAACAATATCATTTCATTCAGGGCTTGGCGGATGGGAAAATAAGATGGTTCAAGGAGGACTGTGAGACAGACAGGAGGATATGGTCCTTCAACACCAGTGTTTTGTTTGTTTGTTTATTTGTTGTTTAATGCTGCACTTGAAATATTCCAGCTACATAAGGGAGTGTGGTCTGTAATGAATCGAAGTTTTGAACCAGACAAACCAGTGATCACCAGCATGGCGTTGATCAGCAGAATTGGGATATGGTGACATGTGTCAATCAAGTCAACAAGTCTGACCACGAGTCGCCTCTTACGACAAGCATGGGTAGCTGCAGATCATTTCTAACACGGATCTGTGATGGCTGCTCTACTTGAGGAGTGGAGGCCTGAATTTAGTGTAATATGATGATATATAGCCATACTGGGGAAACAAATAAGGGAACACCACTTCATCGCAAAAATTCTTTTATTTGGTTTCAGATTTTCACCACAGCAGTGATACATAGCTTTTGGACGAGAACCTGGGAAAAGAATATAGGAATGCTTGTGCTGTCATGTGTTCCCCTAATTTGTTTCCCTCAGTATATATCGTTTTGTTTGTTATTCCAGTGGTCTGCTACAAGAACCAGCTGAGAATGAACTCCTTGTAGAGCTGACTTCTCACAGATATCTCCAGCTGGACAGATGACAACCAGCGGGTGATGCTTCTGAAGGCATGTAGGCAGTAGCCAACACCAGAACATCACCTGGCGTCATATATCAGAGTCAAGGCCTATCTGACAGTGAGTGGACCACAGTGGATCCCCTACAGATACCCACCCGTAAGGATATCTGTCTTGGTTATGCATTAACAAATTGGAAATTCAGAAATAATGTGCAATATTAATTTTGTTGTAACAGAAATTCTTTGTGCATGTGTTCAAAACACTTGCATTGTCTTATAATATGTTTATTAGATTCATAATGTTAAATGTTTTATGTTGCCTTTTTGTTTTATTACTTTCCTTTTATTCCATTTTGTCATAATTTGTTGACCCCTTGATTTAAAGCTTCATGCCTTACAACTGTGTCATTCGCACGTCTGAATTACAGAGGATATTTTATCACTAATGTGGAGGACTTTAAAGACCGAAAAAAAACTATTTTATCCTTATGATTTAATTTTATGTAATATAATTATATGTGCTCAGATAATATTTGGAGTTGAGTCCCCCGATAATACAGCTGAATCACGATTAATGAATCATCTGTAATCCAGATCCTAACGTCGACCTTGACCCTGACCCTACACTTAAACTAGATCCATCTGACATTGATCATGACACTAACCCTCAAACTGGCCCTGACCTTTATTCTCACATGGACCTTGACCCTGAATTTTAACCCTGACCCCAGAGGCTTAAGACATTAGTTTTATGTGTAAATAGCTTTAAAACTTACACTATATATATATATATATATTTGAAGGAGAATTTGTATATCAGGATAAAATGGAAGCAAACATTGCCCTTTACTTTTAGGATTTTTAACTCCTCAGGCAGTAGAAATGTTTAACTAGCTTATCTGTTTTATAAAATTTATGTCCAAATTATGACCAGTATACTGACAGCTTAGAGGTTCACAGTTTGTGAACAAAAGGATGATCAGTGTTGTAGGAGTAACAACATGCACAATCCACTGGGTCACACACTTTACATTGTCTGTTTCCCCTTGTTATATAGTTGCATTAGGGCATTTACTACTAATTTTACTTGTGGAGTCAATTTCAGTTTTCTACAAATTTAAAGTAATGTATATATTTGTTTTTATGGTGTATGTTACTTGGCTAAACTGGGAGAGAGAAAACAGAATCTGGTAACCTACACTATCTCAAGTATGACTTTCCCGTAATATTGTGTTGGGATGAGATCAGTCGGTCCAAGCTGGGCAGAGTTTGCACCTATGTTGTACCAGAACCCTGATGGTAGTTTCAGAATCCTAGCTTCTATGTTGTGTTCTTCTGTTCAAAATGGCACCAAACCAGCATATTCACAGTACCAATTATGCAAAGGTTTTGTGTATATTAATTTGAAAAGGAATTACACGAAATAAATTTCTATATATTTTTATAAAAGAACAAGTATTAGCCTATTATGGGATTAATGAGGTGTGTCGAGCACCTGATCTTAACTTCATGTCAAGAGCATCACTTCTTCTCATCCTCTTTATCACCATTGTCTCTATCCATGGTTTTCGTATAATTACACTAACACCTCAATCCATTCCTGTATGGCTTTCATGAAAGTGGGTTCACCCCTTTCCTCATCTTTGTTCTGATTTCTTAGGAGGCAGTGGGCAGCCCAGTGGTTGAAGCATTCACTAGTCATGCAGAGAGGCCCGGTTCAGGATTCCACACATGGTACAATAATGTGAAACTATCGTGATCGCGAAGCTTTCAGCACTGCGTTGACTTTATCTATCGGAAGCGCTGAGTAAATACATGTCTTAGGTTCATTAAATTAATCATTGTAACTAAAAAATAGTATTTTCTATGTATTGTCTGGTCTGGTTAATCCATTTTGGGCTGGTAACATTTGAGGTTACCAGCCTGGATGTCTGGCCGTGTTTTTGGCTTATTTCACACTGCTGTTAGTAATTGAAATTTAATGTCTGGAACCAGAAACTGGATTTCTGTACAAATGGAGCATATCATTCACCAGGAGATGCTTCCATGTATGTGGGTCTGGATAAGAGGGGTTCCACTGTATCCATTGTCCAGTAAAATATATGACTGTTTTATACAGGTGATCTACTACTTCCTTCTTCGCTTTATAGTTGGCATGGAACTGTTCCACGATGTCATCAAGTACCAGCCAATGAGTGCCAACAAGAATGACACCAACAGGTGAGTCTGCAGTTCGATGATCCATGAATAGTTACAGAAACACAGATGTGAGTCTGATAACCCATCTGTATCTGGTCTTCATGCCGTGACAAATTTGAAGAGTCGTTGTTAGCCATTTCTTTAATTCATCCCATTGATGTGTATGTTGAGAAAAATAATATTTGATGATTAATACAATGAAATGATTGATAGGAGGGCAAAAATATACTCTCAGTTTTCAGCATCCAAAATATTATCCAGTAAGTCTTTGTGGAAATATTTGCCAGAATTCATGAAGATCTTGTTTGAACATTTTTGTGATTCCAAAGTTGTGAGGTAATTCTGTAGGAAAGCCTACATGACTTTATTTGTTTTTGTTATGTTTATGTTTTATGTTTAATGCTCATGTATTTCCAGATTCTGCAGTTTTGCAATTATCAGATGAAACACCTGTGTTTTTTGTAAATTCTGTCTCATGTTGTGTAAAATAATGCACAGAATATCCTCGAATTGAACGGCATATATATTTTTTTACTCACCAAAAATGCAAGACAGCTTTGATGTACTGAGAAAAGGGCCTGTACTCTGTTGTTTCACTGAAGCCCTTCTGTTTCAGCTCCAGCTTTCATTGTGGCTCCTACCAGCAGCTGGAGTACTGGGCCAACAACTTCGATGACTTTGCCGTATGTTTTATACAGTACTGTCATGTGCCACAACACATTTACCACAAGCACCAAACATTGTTGGTAGACAAGTAGCTGTAGTCCTGCTTTAGTCCTGCTGTAGTTCAGCTGTAGTCCTGCTGTAGTTCAGCTGTAGTCCTGCTGTAGTTCAGCTGTAGTCCTGCTGTAGTTCAGCTGTAGTTCAGCTCTAGTCCTGCTGTAGTCCTGCTGTAGTCCTGCTGTAGTCCTGCTGTAGTTCAGCTGTAGTTCAGCTGTAGTCCTGCTGTAGTTCAGCTGTAGTCCTGCTGTAGTCCTGCTGTAGTCCTGCTGTAGTTCAGCTGTAGTCCTGCTGTAGTCCTGCTGTAGTTCAGCTGTAGTCCTGCTGTAGTCCTGCTGTAGTTCAGCTGTAGTCCTGCTGTAGTCCTGCTGTAGTTCAGCTGTAGTTCAGCTGTAGTCCTGCTGGTTCAGCTGTAGTTCAGCTCTAGTCCCTGTGTGTAGTTGGCTGTAGTCCAGCTGTAGTCCTGTCTGTAGTTCAGCTGTAGTTCAGCTGTAGTCCTGCTGTAGTTCAGCTGTAGTCCTGCTGTAGTTCAGCTGTAGTCCTGCTGTAGTTCAGCTGTAGTCCTGCTGTAGTCCTGCTGTAGTTCAGCTGTAGTCCTGCTGTAGTCCTGCTGTAGTTCAGCTGTAGTCCTGCTGTAGTCCTGCTGTAGTTCAGCTGTGGTTCAGCTGTGTAGTCCTGCTGTGTAGTTCAGCTGTAGTCCTGCTGTAGTCCTGCTGTAGTTCAATGTAGTCCTGCTGTAGTTCAGCTGTAGTCCTGCTGTAGTTCAGCTGTAGTCCAGCTGTGTAGTCCCTGCTGTAGTTCAGCTGTAGTCCTGCTGTAGTCCTGCTGTGTAGTCCTGCTGTAGTCCTGCTGTCCTGTAGTTCAGCTGTAGTTCAGCTGTAGTCCTGCTGTAGTTCAGCTGTAGTCCTGCTGTAGTTCAGCTGTAGTCCTGCTGTAGTTCAGCTGTAGTCCTGCTGTAGTCCTGCTGTAGTTCAGCTGTAGTCCTGCTGTAGTCCTGCTGTAGTTCAGCTGTAGTCCTGCTGTAGTCCTGCTGTAGTTCAGCTGTAGTTCAGCTGTAGTCCTGCTGTAGTCCTGCTGTAGTTCAGCTGTAGTCCTGCTGTAGTTCAGCTGTATTCCTGCTTTAGTCCTGCTGTAGTTCTGCTGTAGTTCAGCTGTAGTCCTGCTGTAGTTCAGCTGTAGTCCTGCTGTAGTCCTGCTGTAGTCCTGCTGTAGTTCTGCTGTAGTTCAGCTGTAGTCCTGCTGTAGTCCTGCTGTAGTCCTGCTGTAGTTCTGCTGTAGTCCTGCTGTAGTCCTGCTGTAGTTCAGCTGTAGTTCAGCTGTATTCCTGCTTTAGTCCTGCTGTAGTTCTGCTGTAGTTCAGCTGTAGTCCTGCTGTAGTTCAGCTGTAGTCCTGCTGTAGTCCTGCTGTAGTCCAGCTGTAGTCCTGCTGTAGTCCTGCTGTAGTTCAGCTGTATTCCTGCTTTAGTCCTGCTGTAGTTCTGCTGTAGTTCAGCTGTAGTCCTGCTGTAGTTCAGCTGTAGTCCTGCTGTAGTCCAGCTGTAGTTGAGCTGTAGTCCTGCTGTAGTTTAGCTTCAGTTCAGCTGTAGTCCTGCTGTAGTTCAGCTCTAGTTCAGCTGTAGTCCTGCTGTAACTTAGCTATAAATAGTTAACTGTGGGGAATCGAACCAGGTGTCTTCAGCATGACAAGTTTAACACTTTAACCACTACACTACCCACCAATCATGTGTGTAATAAGAATGTGTCACGATTTGTCAGTGATTATTAAAGCTTGTAATATCAGCACTGTCGATTGTTTGATTACTTTGTTGGTCACATTTGCTCTGACTTTGAGGACAGTGATGAAATGTTGGGACCGGAATTGTCCGGAAGGTATTTTGAAGTACATGGCTGCTGTTATGTTGCAGGCGCCTGTGGTGGTGTTGTGGGACATCATGGTGGTGAATAACTGATGGTGTTCCTTGTCGCATTCAAACAAGCAACATCTGGCGTAAGTACTACATGCCATTGTACGATTTTGATAATTATCAAAGGTTCGGCCCTGAAAGTTCATTGTTTAAGAAGAAAGGAAATGATCAATTTGATAGCAAAAATTGAGGGCTCATGTTTATCTGAAATCTAATTTTCAAATGTGTATTCCTTGCAGCATTTGTTTATAATCTTTTGTGTAACCCACCTTTAATCCACATCAGTTTATGCAAAATGGCATGTTGGGTAAGTTCATTGATGAAAATTGATGATTCAGAGTGACAAAAGTGAGTGATTTTTTATATAGAATACATGAAAGAAAATGCATAAATACCTGAATATTGCACACTGGTAAATATGTTTACAATAACTGGATACTGTAAACTGGTAGGCACAAAATGAAGTTTTCATACAAAAATATGTTTAGCAACCAAACTCAGAACACTGGAAAATGCTTATGTGGTAGTTTTGCTGTTTGTGACAATAAATCCTAAATGATGTTAGCTGGAGAAGGTAGACTTCTAATCTCTGTGTTCCAGGTGGGCCTACCTATTCTTTATAGCCTGGTGGCTGCTGACCGTGGTCATTGTTCTCAACCTGTTCACAGCTCTAATCCTGGAGGTGAGTGAGTCAGTGTGTCTGTGGAGGTGTGTCTGTGTCAGGTGTGTCTGTGTCAGGTGTGTTCCAGGTGGGCCTACCTGTTCTTTATAGCCTGGTGGCTGCTGACCGTGGTCATTGTTCTCAACCTGTTCACAGCTCTAATCCTGGAGGTGAGTGAGTCAGTGTGTCTGTGTCAGGTGTGTCTGTGTCAGGTGTGTCTGTGTCAGGTGTGTTCCAGGTGGGCCTACCTGTTCTTTATAGCCTGGTGGCTGCTGACCGTGGTCATTGTTCTCAACCTGTTCACAGCTCTAATCCTGGAGGTGAGTGAGTCAGTGTGTCTGTAGGAGTGTGTGCAGGAGTGTGTCTGTGTCAGGTTGTCTGTCAAACATGGATGTGTCTCCAGGTGTGTCCTACTCTGTTCAGGTGTGTCTGACCAGGTGTCTGTGTCAGGTGTGGTCATTGACCTCAACCTGTGACATGGTGTGTCTGTATCAGGTGTGTCTGTGTCAGGTGTGTCTGTGTCAGGTGTGTCTGTGTCAGGTGTGTCTGTGTCAGTGTGTGTCTGTACCAGGTGTGTCTGTTCAGGTGTGTCTGCTGACAGGTGTGTCTGTGTCAGGTGTGTCTGTTCCAGGTGTGTCTGGAGTGTGGTGTGTCAGTGTGTCTGGCCAGGTGTGTCTGTGTCAGGTGTGTCTCCAGGTGTCCTACGGTGTGTCTGTGCCAGGTGTGTCTGTGTCAGGTGTGTCTGTGTCAGGTGTGTCTGTGCCAGGTGTGTCTCAGTGCCAGGTGTGTCTGTGTCAGGTGTGTCTGTGTCAGGTGTGTCTGTGCCAGGTGTGTCTGTGTCAGGTGTGTCTGGTCAGGTGTGTCTGTTCAGGTGTGTCTGGGGCCTGGTGTGTCTGTCTGTGGTCTGTGTCAACCTGTGTGTGTCTGACCTGGAGGTGTCAGGTGTGTCTGACCAGGTGTGTCTGTGTCAGGTGTGTCTGTGTCAGGTGTGTCTGTGCCAGGTGTGTCTGTTCCAGGTGTGTCTCTAATCAGGTGTGTCTGTGCCAGGTGTGTCAGGTGTGTCTGTGCCAGGTGTGTCTGTGTGCCAGGTGTGTCTGTGTCAGGTGTGTCTGTGCCAGGTGTGTCTCTGGCCAGCTCGTGTGTCTGTGCCAGGTGTGTCTGGCCAGGTGTGTCTGTGCCAGGTGTGTCTGTGGGCACCTGTGTCTGTGTCAGGTGGTGTCTGTGCCAGGTGTGTCTGTGTCAGGTGTGTCTAATGCCAGGTGTGTCTGTGTCAGGTGTGTCTGTGTCAGGTGTGTCTGTGTCAGGTGTGTGTCTGTGCCAGGTGTGTCTGTGTCATGTGTGTCTGTGTCAGGTGTGTCTGTGCCAGGTGAGTCTGTCAGGTGAGTCTGTGTCACTCATACCTGTCCCAGCTGTATCTGATGGTGGTGTGTCTGTCAGAGGCATGTCCATCCCAGATGTGTCTGGTACCATTTACAGACAGCCAAGACAAGCTGACTTATTGCTTTCTACTACATAACACATCACTGTCTCACATGTACTGGGTGTTTGGGTGGCCTTGTGGGTGAGGTATTGCCATGCTATGCTGAAGCCATGGGTTGATTCCCCATGTGGGCAGACTGTATGAAGCCCTTCTGTGTTATAACTTATGATGCTAAAGCAGTATGAAACGAAACTTGGTCAGTCACTTCTGTTTGATCAGGACCCCGTGAGAACAGTGATGTCACATGTAACTCTGTTCTGGTTGGAAGGTGCTTCTTTTGCAGAAAAAAGAAGAGACCTTTCAGATGATGTTTTATCATCCTGTTTTGTCTTATACAAATTGTGTATAGTACCCCGCCAAAAATGTTTGAAAATTCAGATTTGTATTGTTGTTGAGTTTGTGAGATACACAGAGTAATATTGTTTGTGAAACGCTGCTGCAGAACTTCATCATGAAATGGGACAAGATCCTGCACACCTCCCGTGATCGCTCCGAATCCGGACAAGTTGAAGAGGCCAGTCACCTCATGTCTGTACACGAAATGTTCCGGTAAGTCTGCTGTACATAAAATGTTCTGTTGAGTGTATCTGTGCTCATAATGCTTCACTGAGCCTGCATGTACATGAAACATTCCGGTTAGTCTGTTTGTACATTGTTATGGTGAATCTCTCTCTCTCCACAATGAATCGGTCTGTGCCCCAAATGTTCTGATGACAATTTCTGCCCATGAAATGTTCTGAGGAGTCAGAACATGTTAAAAATCTTCCATTGAATCAGAGGCGGTGGGGTAGCCTAGTGGTTAAAGCGTTTGCTTGTCACGCCGAAGACCTGGGTTCGATTCCCCACATGGGAACAATGTGTGCAGCCCATTTCTGGTGTCCCCCGCCATGATATTGCTATAAAACTACACTCACTCACTCACTCCATTGAATCTGTAATTACTTATTACAGAGACATGGGTTTAAGCTGATTTTCTGTATGTGAACACGAGTTACAATAACAGGTGGATATGAAGACTGATACTTAGACTCTGAATTTGTAAAATTTTGTGGAAACAAAAACATTCCATTCAATTTAATTTGAAAATAAGCCTGAAAGTTAGGAGATTCGGAACCTGAAACCTGTTTTATTTAGAACAATATCATTTCATTCAGGGCTTGGCGGATGGGAAAATAAGATGGTTCAGGGACTGTGAGACAGACAGGAGGATATGGTCCTTCAACACCAGTGTTTTGTTTGTTTGTTTATTTGTTGTTTAACGCTGCACTTAGCAATATTCCAGCTGTATGGAGTTGGTCTGTAATGAATCGAGTTTTGACCAGACAAACCAGTGATCACCAGCATGAGCGTTGATCAGCAGAATTGGGATATGGTGACATGTGTCAATCAAGTCAACAAGTCTGACCACGAGTCGCCTCTTACGACAAGCATGGGTAGCTGCAGATCATTTCTAACGCGGATCTGTGATGGCTGCTCTACTTGAGGGTCGGGGGCATGAATTTAGTGTAATATGATATATACATACTGAGGGAAACAAATAAGGGAACACCACTTCATCGCAGTATTCCTTTATTTAGTTTCAGATTTTCACCCACAGTGCGATACAAAGCTTTTGACGAAACCTGGAAAAGAATAAAGGAATGCTTGTGCTTTCATGTGTTCCCTAATTTGTTTCCCTCAGTATATATGTTTTGTTTGTTATTCCAGTGGTCTGCTACAAGAACCAGCTGAGAATGAACTCCTTGTGGAGCTGACCTCTCACAGATATCTCCAGCTGGACAGATGACAACCAGCAGGTGATGCTTCTGAAGGCATGTCGGCAGTAGCGCCAACACCCAGAACATCACCACAACGTCATATATCAGAGTCAAGGCCTATCTGACAGTGAGTGGACCACCCCAGTGGATCCCCCTACAGATACCCACCGTAAGGATATCTGTCTTGGTTATGCATTAACAAATTGGAAATTCAGAAATAATGTGCAATATTAATTTTGTTGTAACAGAAATTCTTTGTGCATGTGTTCAAAACACTTGCATTGTCTTATAATATGTTTATTAGATTCATAATGTTAAATGTTTTATGTTGCCTTTTTGTTTTATTTCTTTCCTTTTATTCCATTTTTGTCATAATTTGTTGACCCTTGATTTAAGCTTCATGCACCTTACAACTGTGTCATTTTACGTCTAAATTACAGAGGATATTTTATCACTGATGTGAGGACTTTTAAAGACCGAAAAAAACTATTTTATCCTTATGATTTAATTTTATATAATATAATTATATGTGCTCAGATAATATTTGGAGTTGAGTCCCCCGATAATACAGCTGAATCACGATTAATGAATCATCTGTAATCCAGATCCTAACCTCGACCTTGACCCTGACCCTACACTTAACCTAGATCCTGACCCAACAGCTGACATTGATCATGACCCTAACCCTCAAACTAGCCCTGACCTTTACTCTCACATTGACCTTGACCCTGAATTTTAACCCTGACCCCAGAGGCTTAAGACATACTTTTTATGTACAAAATAGCTTTAAAACTTACAATATATATATATGTATTTGAAGGAGAATTTGTATATCAGGATAAAATGGAAGCAAACATTGCCCTTTACTTTTACGAGTTTTAACTCCTCAGGCAGTAGAAATGTTTAACTAGCTTATCTGTTTTATAAAATTTATGTCCAATTTATGACCAGTATACTGACAGCTTAGCGGTTCACAGTTTGTGAACAAAAGGATGATCACAGTTGTAGGAGTAACAACATGCACAATCCACTGGGTCACACACTTTACATTGTCTGTTCCCCTTGTTATAGTTGCATTAGGGGCATTTACTACTAATTTTACTTGTGGAGTCAATTTCAGTCTTCTACAAATTTAAAGAATGTATATATTTGTTTTATGGTGTATGTTACATGGCTAAACTGGGGAGAGAGAAAACAGAATCTGGTAACCTACACTATCTCAAGTATGACTTTCCCCGTAACATTGTGTTGGGATGAATCAGTCGTCCAGCTGGGCAGAGTTTGCACCTTAATTGTACCAGAACCCTGATGGTAGTTTCAGAATCCTAGCTTCTATGTTGTGTTCTTCTGTTCAAAATGGCACCAAACCAGCATATTCACAGTACTTAATTACGCAAAGGTTTTATTATATATTAATTTGAAAAAGAATTACACCGAAATAAATTTCTATATATTTTTTTATAAAAGAACAAGTATTAGCCTATTATGAGATTAATGAGGTGTGTCGAGCACCTGATCTTAACTTCATGTCAAGAGCATCACTTCTTCTCATCCTCTTTATCACCATTGTCTCTATCCCATGGTTTCGGTATAATTACACTAACACCTCAATCCATTCCTGTGGCTTTCATGAAAGTGGGTTCACCCTTTCCTCATCTTTGTTCTGATTTCTTAGGGGCAGTGGGGTAGCCCAGTGGTTGAAGCATTCACTAGTCATGCAGAAGGCCCGGGTTCGATTCCCACATGGGTACAATGTGTGAAACCCGTTTCTGGCGTCCCCTGACGTGATATTGCTGGAATATTGCTAAAAATGGCGTAAAACTAAACTCACTGACTCACTCTGATTTCTTATCTAAGTACTATCAATTTTTAATCATGATGTATATATTGTTGATGAAGTTTGTAATTAACAGGGGAAGTGGTGTTCTATGTTGGAGCGCTTGTTCCCAATTCTTTTCACATTGTGAATAAAATGTTTTAAAATGGAAGACGAGCCACAACCAGTTTTGATGAACATGAAGATATCTTTCCCATCTAAACGTTTTTCTTTTGTCAGTTTTCTTATGTTGAAATTCCAGCAAAATCTTTTATAATCAATCTTATTGGTCACCATGTTCTTGATATCGCCAACCAAAAATTGAAACTCGCATTCCAGTTTGTATGTTAAACTAGGTAGTATAGTTAAGCAATTTGGTTTATGAAAATCATGGCATGTATAAGTAAGATTGTCAGTATCCCAGGAGTAGTTCCAGGGGGATAGTGAGGAGAAAGCTCTGGAGATGAGGAGAATGCTACTCCTAGGTGCAGCACAGTGTGAAAGGAGTATGTAGCAACCTCACTGGCCGGAATATATCTAAATGTGTTGCTATGGAAACCCACATTTCTTCAAACAAAGGGTGGTTTCATGTTTTGTTTGTTGTATAATGCTGCACTCAAGCCGTATGGTGGTGGTCTGTAAATAACTGTGGACAAGACGGCCAAGTGATTGACATCATGCGCATCAATTCACATAGCAAACATACAATGATTTACTGTAGGTTGAAGAAGCATACCAGTATTGATTATGAGTGTCTTTGTATAAATTTACTTCTGATTGATGTATTCTTCCTTGGACACAGATTATTCAACATCATTGAAATATTGAAATATGAAATAGTTTACTCCAATATGATACTTCTGCATAAACCTGAAGACGCCTCCCTCTCAGGTTATGTCAGCTGAACCCTGAATGAACTTTGACCAACCAAGCTATGAGAAGGAAGGATGGATTCTTCAGAAATCTGATGCCAACTTTCTATAACAATTCAGAATCATTTTATTATCTCAATCAGGAAATTTTGATATCATAAATGAAAAATGCTACAAAACATAAATATTCCTTTAATGATGCTCTCTTTGTTGAGAAACAAGCTGGATAAAATATCCTCAACATTGTTGTGGCCTTTAATGTTTACATTTGGAACAAGCCGATTTATTTCATTTTTGTGAAACATTAATCAGTTGTGCAAGTCTTAATGTTTCTCTTACTCATACAGAGAATTTAGGAGCATTGATGGAGATTGGTTGAGATGAAAATCATCTGACTCAACCCTGTATGGAGGTGTCTTCATATTAAAACTGTAAAGATTATAGTTGTGATCTCGCTGTTGATGGGGTGTTTAAGCAGTGTAAGTCTTCCTTGTGTTTTATTTCCACTGTTGTAAATAGTCTGATAATGTGTAAAGTTTTGCAGATGAGGAATCTCTTGGTTAGTGGGTTTTACCATGTCTTTCTGCTCAATTCAAATGCATTTTTGAAGTCATGATATTTTAGTTATGAAACTTGTGTTATACTGTAAAACCAAATCCTCATGTTAAATGTTGCATTATATTTTAGTGATATTCCCTGTGAGAACACATTTGAGGATTCCAAAGACGCTCTGTACATATCTCCATAGAAGAACAGCAGTCAATATTGTTGTATGTGGATGTGTGAGGGGTCCTTTTGAAAAGAACACACTTTACAAGGTATAGAATCATTGCAGTCTAAGTAAACTTAGGCTCAGTATTATTCCTTACACTGCTATACTGAGTCTAACAAAACCTAGTAGAAGGTCGCGTCAGCTAACCTTTTGGACTGACCAATCAGAACACAGCTTACCAAATCGCGAAAGTTAACATTCGCATATACCCTTTGAAGCTTTACCTAAAAATCTCGAACGATTCCAAATGCTATTTTCCGCACGATCACTTCCGAGTGATACACCCAATGAGTAAACAGTCGCTGAAAATAGCTTTTTTGTCAGTATTCAAGGATGACATCTTGCGAAAATATAAGCAAATAGTAACCATGTTATTAGAAACCCATAAGCGTATATACTGCAGGTCAAATATCTGTGTTTTATGCGGATTTTCTTTGTTGATAGATCAGTGTCAGTGACCAGGGAAGAGAAAATCCAAAAACCGTTTTGTAAGTCCCGCCGAACCCTAACAAGTAGTCGTTGTCTGATTGGTTAAATCCGTTCGGATGTCTCGCGTTTGATTGGACGGTCATAGGTTTCTCAAAGGTTAGCTGACACAACCTTCTACTCGGGTTTGTTTGACTCAGTATAGCAGTGTAACGAATAATATTGAACCTAAGTTTACTTAGACCGAGAACTATTGTATATCTTGTCAGGAAGACTGAGGTTGAAATTAAAAATCCCTCCCAATTTAATGGTAAAAATACATTCAGTCATGAGCACCCCTTCAAACCATTAAAAACTGTATATGGATGTATATGTTTGAAGTAATGTAAGGCAATATACTGAAGGAAACAAATAAGGGAACACACTTCATGGCAATGTTCCTTTATATTTACTAGAGCTTCGCCCACAATGCAACACAAAGCTTGCAATGAAACCTGGAAAAGAATGAGGGAACGCTTGTACTTTCACATGTTCCTTTATATTTTTCCCTCAGTATATAAGCTGATGGAAGCGTGATACTTCAAGCATAGGTGATAAAGTGGGTGTCTGGGAGCATTGGTTGTATTTGCTGTTTATCTGTTACTGGAGAGGAATATTTATCATAAAGTGTTCATGTTTGATGTGACTCAGGGGACCACCACACTGGTGACTTTTTACCAGGAATATGCTGGACACATTACACTTCATGTGTCACAAAAGCTGGAATGAAATACAACGAAATCAAATGAAGCATTAACAAAACAGTGTGACTGAGTGATTGAATCAATGCAGCTTGGTGTTCAGAGGCTGATCATTAGTTCTATAATAGGTCAGATGCATATAATGTACCAGTATTAGTTTGTATAATAAAATTATTGTGTTTCTTACGTTTTAATAGTTTTAGTGACTGCCCTTCAGCAAACATCAAACTTAAAGTTGTATATGGAATATTGAAAATTGTTTTTTTCTGTTTTGATTGTGAAGAAAAAAAACAAAAAGACATTTTAAACACTTTCTGAATATATCGAACAAGGAACAGAAGTTTTTAATCAAATGTATTTGAAAACATAATTGTGTTACTGTTCACTCAAACATAGGCAATATGAGTAAGCAGGTTGTATCAGAACTTTCATCTCTTCAACCTGTGAAGATCCGTGTTAAAAGTGATCTTCAGTAACCCATGCTTGTCATAAGAGACTAACAGGATCGGGTGGTCAGGCTCGCTGACCTCTTTGACACATGTCATCGTATCCAATTGCGTAGATCGATGCCCATGTTGTTGATCACTGGATTGTCTGTTCCAGACTCGATTATTTACAGACCGCAGCCATATAGCTTGAATATTGCTAAGTGCAGCGTTAAACAACAACCAACAAACAATCATCTCTCAACTTTTGAGTTGTGAACTGTTTCCAATGATAAGTTATAGAAGATTATAAGATGTTTTACATGCTGTGGATCTTTTTAATGAAGCCAAGGGCCATAGTTTTAACAATTACACTTTTGATATTCGTAAATGTATATATTCTTAAATCTTCTTAATAGGATACATT